CATGTAGGCCACACAAGGATGGTTGGCAGATTTCCCTCCCTAAAGGTCATTAATGAATCCACGTGGCTTTTTAATCGATGATAATTTCATGATCACCTTACAAAAGATTAGATTTCAAATTCGTTAATTTCAAAGTCCACTAGCCGAACCCGTATCCCAAGAGCATTAATCCTAGACCTCTGGATTACTCATCGAGTCTATTACTGCCATCTTTTCAAATTGAAATATGTGGAATAATAATTAAAGAAGATCTAGTGGATGGTGGAAGGGGTGGCGGCAGAGAGAGGGAGTGAAGTAATGGGCGATCTAATTGTCAATAACATAGTGCGAGAGATTGGAGTCCTCAATTTGCACGTTGTGGACTATTGAATCTGCAACTTATTGCAAGGGAGCAGCTGTGGGGGTTCGTGTTGGAGGCCGGGAAAATGCATTTGTTTCATTCTACATTGTTCCAGTGATGGGCCAGCACACAGACAGAGCGAGCTGAATGGCCTTAGTCCTAATGGTGAACATTAGCAGCCTGCCCTGCGGTCACCCAATGCTTCTTAGCTCGTAAACAGTCATGAAATGAATCAGCAGTTCGCGCATTTCCAGTCCTGTGGGTTTAAGCAGGGATGTGGGCAAGACAACAAACTCTTCTTTGTCGAATTCAAGGTGAAGAGTCATTAGACAAGACTGAGGTTAAAATAAAATCAAAATCAGAAAAAAAAACCTGGTACTTCCAAATAATGTCACACTCCTCTAGAACAAGGATGTGCGTCCATAATCAGTCTCCAACCTCCTCCCTCCCTCCCACTGCTTCTTTGGAAATCTCTCCCTGCCTTCTGTAAATTACTTTGAGACTTTTCTTTTACATTGTAATACTTTAAATATACAGTTACAGTCATGGTTGGCGAGCCACTCAGCATTTTTGTTTTTGGCTCAAATCGGGGGTGGACAGAGTTTGAGTACACATTTTCATGAAAAGATGAAAGTTTTATCCCTGAAACTTCGCATTTCTGAAGAACTGAAACTGTAACTCAGGCGTCACACTAGCTTAAAGTGAGTATATCGTTCCCCTTGCATTTTGGCCCGAATGATGTCCGTGTGCCGTCGTTGGGGGCCTCTTAGCAGGTATTTACATCATAAATGGCAGCGTAAAGCTCTTTTAGTGACGCTATGGTCTTGGTATAAGTTCAGACGAATTCTGCCGTCTGTTGGACTAGGTAACAGAGTGTACTGGAGACTCTCCAGAACACTGGGCATCATTTCAGAGTTATCCAGGAGTTAACTGTGTGTATGTGTGTGAATCAAAAGATGGTCCAATTGACACAACTTGTCCCAAACCTATTCCCAATTCCTTTGCCTCCGCCGCATCTGCTCCCAGGATGAGGTATTCCACTCTGGTACATCTCAGACTTCCTCGTTTTTCAAGGACCGCAATTTTCCTGTCTCAGTGGTTGAGAACGCCCTCGACCGTGTCTCCCGCATTTCCCGCAACTCATCCCTCACACCCCCTGCCCACAATAACAACCAAAACAGCATCCCCCCTCGTCCTCACGTGCCACCCCACCAACCTCCAGATCCAACACATCATCCTCCGACACTTCTGCCATCTGCAATCCGACCCCACCACCAAAGACATTTTTCCCTCCCCACCCTTATCTGCTTTCCGGAGGGACCACTCTCTCCGTGACTCCCTTGTCCACTCCACACTCCCCTCCAGCCCCACCACACCCAGCACTTTTCCCTTCAACTGCAGGAAGTGCTACACCTGCCCCTACACCTCCCCCCTCACCCCCATCCCAGGCCCCAAGAAGATTTCCACATCAAGCAGATGTTCACCTGCACATCTGCTAATGTGGTATACTGTATCCGCTGTTCCCATTGTGGCCTCCTCTACATCGGGGAAACCAAGCGGAGGCTTGGGGACCATTTTGCGGAACACCTACGCTCAGTTCGGACTAAACAACTGCACCTCCCAGTCGCGAACCATTTCAACTCCCCCTCCCATTCCTCAGACGACATGTCCATCCTGGGCCTCCTGCAGTGCCACAACGATGCCACCCTAAGGTTGCAGGAACAGCACCTCATAGTTCGCTTGGGAACCCTGAAGCCCAATGGTATCGATGTGGACTTCACAAGCTTCAAAATCTCCCCTCCCCCTACCGCATCCCAAAACCAGCCCAGCTTGTCCCCGCCTCCCTAACCTGTCCTTCCTCCCACCTATCCCCTCCTCCCACCTCAAGCCTCATCCCCATCTCCTACCTACTAGCCTCATCCCGCCTCCTTGACCTGTCCGTCCTCCCTGGACTGACCTATCCCCTCCCTAACTCCCCACCTACACTCACCTTTACTGGCTCCATCCCTGCCTCTTTGACCTCTCCACCTATCTTCTTCTTTATCCATCTTCTATCTGCCTTCCCCTCTCTCCCTATTTATTTCAGAACCCCCTTCCCCTCCCCGATTTCTGAAGAAGGGTCTAGGCCCGAAACGTCAGCTTTCCTGCTCCTCCAATGCTGCTTGGCCTGCTGTGTTGATCCAGCTCTATACCTTGTTATCTCTTGTCCCAAAGTCTGTAGGGATATAAACCCCCTGTTTATAAAATCAAAACCCCATGGATGTTGGAAGTCTGAAACACAGACAGGAAGTGCTGGAGAAGCTCAACAGGCCTGGTAGCTTCTTCAGCAGAAATCATACAGGACCATTAACTCTTTGCTTTTCTCGCTGTCCCCACAAAATGCTGCCAGACCAGCTGAGTTTCTCCAGCAATTTCTGTTTGTCTTCCAAACCATTGTGGGTTGTCATTCTAATTGACATGGTGCTTCTCTGAAACCTTGCCGTTATTTCAATGATTGTGGCTCAGGGACACGGCATGGGCATAAAAATAACATTTTAAAATTATATTAACATCCGAATGAGACAAGACGCTGGCTGGACGAAGAGGCAGTGCCAATCATTATAACCATTGTTAAAACTGGTGAACTCAGCACAAGCGAGGAGTGTGAATGACAGACCATTGGATTTTTAAAAATTTACTCATGGGAGGTATGCGTCTCTGGCTGGGGTAACATTTATTGTCTGTTCCTAGTTGCCCTTGAAAAAGTGGTGGTCAGTTGCCTTTTTCAACAGCTAATGTCTACGTTCTGTTCGTTTCTTATTTTGAGATTTCCTAGCCATTGATACAACTGAGTGGCTTTCTGGCCATTTCAGAAGGCAGGTGGCAGCCAACCACATTGCTGTGGGTGTGGACAAGCCAGGGGCCAGCAATAGAGTCATACAGCACAGAAACAGACCCTTTGGTCCAACTGTCTATACCAACTAGATATCCTACATAAATCTAGCCCCATTTGCCAGCATTTGGCCCATATCCCTCAAACTCTTCCTATTCATGTACCCATCTAAATGCCATTTAAATGTTGTAATTGTACCAGTCTCCACCACTTCCACTGGCAGCTCATTCCATACATGCACCACCCTCTGTGTGAAAACATTGCCCTTAAGGTCCCTTTAAAATCTTTCCCCTCTCATCTTCAACTATGTCCTCTACTTTTGGACTCCCCTGTCCTGGGAAAAAGACTTGGCTATTCACCCTAGCCATGCCCCTCATGATTTTATAAACCTCTATAAAGTCACCCCTCAGCCTCCAACATTCCAGGGAAAATAGTCAATCCAGCCTCTCTCCGTAGCTCAAACCCTCCAATTCTGACTACATCCTTGTAAATCTTTTCTGCACACTTTCAAGTTTCACAACATCTCTTCTGTAGCAGGGAGACCAGAACTGAACGCAGTATTCTAAAAGTGGCCTAACCAATGTCGTGTACAGCCGCAACATGATTTCTCAACTCCTATACTCAATGCGCCGACCAATAAAGGTAAGCGTACCAAATGCCTTTTTCACTACATGGTCTACCTGTGGCTCCATATTTAAGTAACTATGAACCTGCAATCTAAGGTCTCTTTGGCAAAACTTCCCAGGACCATTAAATGTATAAGTTCTGCCCTGAATCGCCTTTCCAAAATGCAACAACTCACATTTATCTAAATTAAACTCCATCTGCCACTCCTCTGCCTGTCTGATCAACATCCTGTTGTACTCTGAGATAACCTTCTTCATAGTTCACTACACCTCCAATTTTGGTGTAATCTGCAAACTTACTAACCATACCTCCTATATTCACATCTAAATCCAATATAAATGACAAAAAAGCAGTGGAGCCAGCACTGATCCTTACACAGGCCTCCAGCCTATCTTGAATTTCCTGTGGAAGATTAAAAATAGACTGAAGGATCATATTGTACAGTGATAATGTCCCTACCTCTAGGCCTGGATTTAAGTCTCGCTTGCCCCAGATATGAACAGATTTGATTTTTTAAAATTACGGGAAAATGGGCAGAATTATTGGAATTTCGGCACGATGACTAAATGGTTAGTGGGTGTGGGTCCAGACCGTTCTTGTATGATCTGAACTGAGGAAGTGAGATATAATCAACCTGTAAAGAAATATTTTATTACGCACCCCTGGAGAAGGAGTCACTTGAACACGGGGCCTCCTGCCTCGGGGGAAGGGATACTATCATTGTGTCACAAGAGCCCAAATGAGATTTAAAAAAAAACAGGAATTGCTTGCGAAACTCAGCTGGTCTGGTTGCATCTGTAGAGAGAGAAACATAGTCAACGTTTCGATTCCAGTGATGCTTCTCGAGATTTTATTTTGGCTGGGGAGGGGTGCGGGTGATCTAAGTGAACCGCTTCTTCTGCCACTTGGTGCACGAGTTGCAGCTATTGTCGCCCCGGGGGAGCTGTCAGCTCCTCTGCAGACGCGCGTGCGTCCGCGGTCCGCAACTAACAAAAACAGTTGACGTCACAAAGAACTGACATCAAGATGTTATTGCACCTTTCAGGCCGTCTCGCTCCTGATTGGTCGGCCGGCCCGGCCTCCAAACGTTGAGTCGCGATTTAGAATATTGCCCGGGGCGGCGACTGCGACCGCCCCTCTGATTGGCGGCTGCGTCTGTCAATCAGATCCTGCTTCACTCCTCCCTGCAGTGGGAACGAGCTGACTTGCCCGGCAAGCGGAGCGAGACTGCAGCCGCAACAACATTGCGTTTTTGCATTCGCCTCCAGTCTCGGAGCGCTTGAAAGCAAAGCAAATATTTAAACACTGGGAAATATATATATATATAAATATTAATATGGGGAAAACTATGCCGGATGGCGAGAAGTTGTCCCAGGCTGCCGTGCGGGGAGACTGGCAAAACGTGAAGCGTCTGCTGACCGAAGAAAAGGTGAATGCCAATGCGGTGAATAAATTCGGACAAACCGCACTGCAGGTTGGTGGTACCTCTCGATTCTTGAAATAGTGATAAGGGCAGCAACGGCATACTGTATTTAACCCCGAGTTACAGTCACATCCGTTTAAACCGGGAAAAATCATTTTCAGCATTACATTTACCTCCATATATTTAAAAAAATCTGCAAATTTGAAAGCCCTAGCAGAATCTGCATTACTGTCGAACGCAGCAGATTAATAATTGGGATTTTGCCTGACATTCGGATTGTAAATGACTGTTGCGATGCCTCTTGTGACGGAGATGTCAGCCGGTTAAACCTGCTGCGGAAGATTAACCCGTTTCCAGACAGCGCCCAGAGATGTAATGAAACGTAAAACAAAATGTTTAGGCGCAATCTGGTGTTGTAACCTACTGGGGTCGTAACCTACTAGGGTCGTCATAATTTGTGAATGAAGGCAAGGGGTTCCCTGTTCCCTTCCCCTTCGGCTGACGTTAAAAAGCCGATTTGAAATAATTTGACATCTGACTCCGAAACTCTATCCAATAACTTTCTTTTTGCCTGCCGTTGGCCGGATGGAATTTTGGAGAGGTGGAAACGGAGTTTAAAACAAAAATTCGATTGTTGATTTAATTTAGAAAAAGCAGTGAAAGGAACAATCGTTGAGAAATGTCTGTAACTCTTACGTTACTTTACTACCAAAGGGCGGAGTCTTGCCGTGGGGAATGTGTACAACAGGGCGGTTTCAATCTGCGTTGTCGATCGGCTGTTGAGCTAAATTTACACTGTTCCTGAACTGCTAATTAAAACCTAAAGCAGTAAAAGATGCGTTTTAAATTGGAATGGTAATAAAGCGCTTTAAATATGGGTGGGGTGAGAATAATTATTGCAGGTTATGTATATTATCTACCAGGCTATTCACAAGATGTTGCTAGGCATCCGTGTTAAGTAATATTTAACAGTGGACTCTGTCTCACCCCCCGTCCTCACCAAGGGCATAAGGGAGCAATGCGAACCAAAATTAGACCACAGCGGGCCACCCTATATTCACGGGGATTGTAGATCTGCGACCATCTGGGTATCTCCATATTTCTGTCTTTGTCCAGTATCCCTTAGTAACTATAGTTTACAAAAACAATCTTTCGATCTCAGCATTATAAGGATTAATCGACTGAGCAATTGTCACTTGCAACCTTCTATCACCCGTTGCGTGTGACAGTATTTCCTAAATTCATTCCTAAAAGGTCTGACTTTGGATTTGTGATGTCCTGTGCTCAAAACTCTTCCCTCTAACCAAATATCCTTGGCTGAGGTTAGTACTTCGTCATGTGGAAGGATGAGCCCATCACTGCTGTACAAAAGAGGCTGCTTTCATTTGTTTTTGACACCAGAGAGTCTGAGTTCCCATGGTAGACTTCACACTAGCCCTGCGCCTCAGGGCTGTTACAGAGACAAATTCATAACAATCACAGGGGAAGGTAGTAATTGCGATGTCTACGTCTTCTCGCAGCTGTGGGAGAGTCAGAGAGATACATGATTAGAATGTTTACATTGTTCTGCAGCTGTGAGACAGAGAGGGAGACAGAGAGGGAGACAGACACAGATTGCTGGGCACACAGAAACATGCCCAGAAACTGATTGCAAACAAATCAAATTCAACATGTGCAAAGGTGCCTTACAAAGTAACAAACCTGGGTTGCTAAAATGCACCTCTAACATGCCTGCCCCACTTTATTTTCCTAATACCCTGTACCCCTCTGTATTTTCTCCTCTCCCTATTAATTTCAATAGGAACCAAGCACAACCTGTTACTACCTGTTTTCCACTCTGCTGCTTGAATTACTCAGGCAAGAATCCACCAAAGATCTAAACTGTAATTGTGTTTAATCGTAGGTTCTTTCTCTACAAGTAGCAATATCAGAAATAAGCCCTATGCTGTTGCTGCTCCACCCAAGAACCATTTCTCCGATGTTACCAAAGCCCACAGTTACCCACACAAATACGGTTAGGCCCAAATTCCTTTCCCTAGAGCCATTAAATTGAAAATTCGTACAATTGGTGAATCTTTATAGTTTGCCATCTTGCTGCAGTACAGCTGAACCGTAACTGAATGGCAGGACGTGCTGAATGGCCTACTCCGGTTCTTAAGTGTATTCTTTGCTTACTCAAATGGCAATGGATTCAATATCTGGAACAAAAACATTAAAAAGGGTCACTCACTTATAATTTATACAGAAAAATGGAGAAAGTTGTGGAATTCAATCCTAAAAACTCCAGCCATAAATCCCCAAAATGCTATTCAGTACAAAAATTAATTTTGATGTATTGATCTTTGGGATTTGGGCATTGCTCTTCTCTAGCTGTACTAAGGCAGTTGTGAGGATAAAGATTTCAACCAAGTGAGAATGAAAGTACAGTGCTACATGTACAGGTTGGATGGTCTATGTCTCGGAGGTGGTGGCGTTTGTGTGCATCTTCTACCCACCCTTCTGGGTGTTGCAGATCACAAGCTTGGGAGATAATATTGAAGAAGCCTTGGTGAATTGTTTCAGTGCCTCCTATACACTGACTGATTTAATTGGCATATCTCAAAGGGCTAGCTCCTTTGGTCACACTCAGAGCCCTAAATCTTTGTTTTTGTGCTTCTCTTTCCAGGTGATGATGCTGGGCAGTACATTGGTCGCAGAGGAATTGTTGAAGAATGGGGCAGAGCCAAATGTCCAGGATAAATGGGGCTTTACTCCAGCACATGATGTGGCCCGGAGTGGTTTCTTGGATACAATGAAGGTCCTGACAAAATACAAGGCAAACGTGAACATCAAGAATGCTGCATGCTGCCTGCCGATACACTTGGCTGCCCAAGAGGGCTACTTGGACCTTGTCCAGTACCTGGCTCCAAGATCAAGCATTCTGCAGACAAACATCAATGGACAAACCCCATTGGATCTAGCAAGGGCCTCCAATAGAACTGAAGTAGTTGCCTGGTTAGAGCAGCAGTTGCAAACTATGCAGACCCAAACTTAACACTGATTGAGGGCCTGTTAAGAAATGCTGACATTGCTTATACTTTACCTCTCTCACTGTATGGTCTTAACTATGCTGTGATCCCTTCCTTTCCACCATATTGGACTCCTACTTTGCACTGCTAATTGTGGACCCATTGTATATGTTCCTTGTTTATTGTTTTTAATTTGAATCACCCCTTTAAGGTTTTGAGCCATTGTGGCAACTCCTCCAAAAACACGTGCTGGCCATCTTGCAAAAAGGTTGGCAAAAAATACCTTTAAAAATATGCCACTCATTGACTGTTTACATCTCCCGATCGTTCAACATTTTGAAAAGAGGTGCATGGAATCAGACAGTGTCAACTGAGTCAGGTGTTTTGCACACTTTGCCTCAAGAGCCCCAAGCATTGTACAGTGTGCTGTGCAGGAAAGCTCCAAGGCACACACATCAATGCAGTTCCAGAAATTTACTATTCCATTTTGTGAGAAAGTTGAAGGGATTGCCCTCTTGACAGAAGAACTACAGATAGGACGCTCGGGAGCCGTCAATTGAATGCGAAGGTGTGCACTGATCGTCTCCAAGGTTGAAAGGACCCTGATCTTCAGCCTAGGACTCATCATAAAAAAAAACAGCATCTCCAAATGGGAGAAATCTTGTGGACTAAGGAGTTAAAAACCTGGGCCTTTTTATTTTAAGTGCTGTGTGTTTACAATAGTTTTAAAGTACTGTTTTAAAAAAAGCAAAGCAAAATGAGTTGTATGTACACATTAAAGTGGCTTTGTTATTTTCTCCCTTTACTTTTACATGGAAACAGACAGCAGCTAATGTAGCAGTGAATTTGAATCATTGGTGCTTTAATAATTCTGTATATATGTAAGGGAATGCATTATCAAGCTTATTTATATTTGAAAATTAATTATCCTTTATCCTGAAAGCATGGCTTTAAATGATCATTTTGAAAAAAAATGGGAACACAATTTTTTAAAATGTGAAATAGTTAAGTTCTCGATTTGAATGTTGTTCAATTATAAGACCACTGGTTTGCAGTTTTTGTGGGATAAGCAAACAAAACCGTGGACCACAATGTACAGAACATGGATTCCTGAATCCCAGTGAATAAAATTGAATTTTAACACAAAGGCAGCATAAAGAAGCAACCCTGCTTGTGTTAAACAGGTGCTGATTGTAATGCCCTACCCAACAATACACTGCCATAATGACATTGTCATAGTAAATGCTGTATTGAGTGAGCAACAGTCCTGTGAACATGAGGGGCCTTTTGTTCCTTGGCAGCTGTGAGATGGTTATAGACTATCCTGTGCATTGGAGGATTGAACAAGATTTTTTAACGTTGAGTCAGTACATTGTGTTAGTGTCACTTAGGTGTGGTTGTTGAATGCAAATAAATGGATAAAATAGTTCAGCCAGTGAATGCTTTGATGAAAGTTTGCCATTTCAACTTCTTTTTGCTTTGAAAACCGACTAGTAGCCACATATATCTACGGCTACCAATTTCCACCTCTGCAGTATTGCCCAATTCTGTCCTCACGAGAAATTGTGCTACTGAAATCCTTGCCCAGACCTTATTCCCTTCATGGTTGATTATTCTAATGCAATTCTAATTTGTCTTTGCTGCCCATTTCCTTATTCACACAAGGTCCAGTCCACTCATCAAACTGTGCTTTCACAATGGCTCCTGGTCAACCAACACCTTGATATTAAAATTCTGATCCTAACTTTCAAATTCCTTCGTGACCATGTCCCTCACTCTCTCTCAACTCTGACAGCCCAAAAGTCCTTTGACATTTGCACTTTTCAGCATTCCTGATTTTAACTGCTCTGCCAATGGTGGTCTGCATTCAGTTGGAATTCCTAGATTCCCTAAACTTCTCCACTTCTCTATTTCTCTTTCTTCCTTTAGGACATTTCTTAATATATGCCTCTTTGAGCAAGCTTTTGGCCGTCTTCCCTAATATCTCTTTTTGTGGCTCAGCATCATATTTGTTCAGTAATGCTCCTATAAAGGACTTTGGGGACATTTATATTCCTTTTACATAAAGCAAAGTTGTAACTAAATTTCCCTCAAGATCTATTAGATTAAGCGATTTAAAAAAAAATTGCTGTAAATTATCAGATGGTCAGGCAGTGCTTGTGAAGAGAAAAACAGAGTTAACGTTTTAGGTTGATGATCTTTTGTCTGAAGTGGTGCTATAGATATAGAATTTTGTAGCTTATGAAGCTTTGCCTAAATGGTAGAACTGTGTCTTTTGCGCAGACTCCAATACAATGCATGGGAATTACAAATAGTTACTTATCTATTCAGCTCTTGCACACCGGGGGACTTGTCAACCAGCAACTTCTTGCTGAGTAGATATGTTGCCTTTCGTTGGATTTTGGTATTACGAGAATGGCATTGACATGAAGGAACACTTGTTCCTTGGTTTCAAACTGAAGTCATTCATAGAATCATTACAGCACAGAAAGAGGCCATTCAGTCCATCATGTGATCTCAGCCAAGTTCAGCAAGAAGGCAGCCTCCTTGGCCCTTGGTTGGAGATGGAAGTTAAATGGGTCCTGTGGAGGTCCCTCAGGAATGAGACAGAAAAGGGAATAACAAAAGAAGTATGTATTTTATTCTTGCTTTCAGTTCCAAATATTTGATTTCAATTTGGTATTTTTCACTTTCTAACAGTGATGCAATAGTAGAGAGACAAGAATAATGGGAGACTGTTTGCAAGTTCTGGTCAATTTCTCCTCCCCTGCTTCCACTCTTTATTTTCCTCTGCCCTTTACAACATTATCTCACCACGAGAACAACATCATTCAACCTCAAATGCCTTCTCACTCACTCACTTGAATTTTCAGTGCATTGTACCTCGTTCTTTCAACCCATCATCAGCAGGGCAGGCTACAGTCACCCCTACCTTGTCCTTCAGAGCTCCTGCTGTGTCTGCATACCTCTTTTTGCACTTTTAAAAAGCTTTCCTAAAGTCTATGTCTTTGAGCTAGCCTTACTTTATCCATTCTAATCTCTCCCTTTCTGACTACAGACATTTACATTTGTGTCTGTTTTGTGACACACATGGAATTGTTTTTACATTAAAAGCGCCACTTTAGACGCATGTTGTTGTTGAGAGTGTTTGCCGTTTTAAACTGTTTGGGGTTTGCGTAGTGTGCAATAAAAAAAGTCATTATATTAAGAATGGTTATTGGTGCATGGTACTGGCTCACAGATGTGGAGATCTTTCCCAGTTGGATTCAGGGCCTCAGGGAAAATGGAAGTGATTTGAGGGGAAAGTTTGGGGTTGGGAATGGGATGGGGGAGGGGGATGTTTGAAGACTTTATAGGTTGCTATATTGTAATTTGGTTGATGTTGCACATAATTATATTTATAATGTTGAATTTGTTTGGTGGATATTATACTTTTTTAAAAATCTGCAAATAAATTATATCACTTTTTCGGAAAGTTTCAATGCGGACAACAGAATGATTTTATTTACTTGTTCTACATGGGCTACACAGATGACAATGTCAAAGGTTTATCGTGTGATTCATGATGAGAGAACATATTGGGATTGGCATTGTGAGTGCTACAATTATGTTCTCTTCACTGAGTTGAGGACAGGGGTTCGGGCGGGGGGGGAGGAAAAGAGGGAGAAAAAAAACATCATCAGCTAATGTCCTTAATGTTTACCATGTCTTACTGCAACTGTGTGAACTTCCTCGTTGAGAACAAAGTTCTACTTAATTGTGATGCCTTCTGTAGTTGGACAGCTTGCCAGCATCCACTATCTTGGCTCACCCATGATCAGCAGATATTTAGGGCTAAATCCAGGATGGTGTGGATTATTGGGAGGCACAGCAGATAATGGAAACGTATCCAGCACGTATTAGAACCTTTTTCACAGAGAGAGAGACGGAGACAGAGGGAGAACAAAAATGACGCAGAACATTGAAGAATTCTCACAAATCTTTCAACATTACTCTGTACGAGTATTATTGGGATCTAGAACCTTCACCCTGAAATGGTTGTGGAATCTTCCTCCATATATTTCTCTTTCTAAAAATATGGGAGCTGAACTGGTACTTAAGAATGAAGACATTACTGGAGCAGGAGGATATTTAGCTCCCCATACCTGTTCAAGCATTAAATTACATTATGGTTGATATATGACTGAACTCCACATACCTGTCTTTGTCCCTGTCTATTAATACTTCTGGGGGCATCAGCAAAAATCTATCAATCTCAATATTAAATCTAATGATCCAGCACTAATTGTCACCTGCTAAAAGAAACTTGCACATTTCTCTAAAGTTTGAACATGGGACTATATAAGACCATTCTTTCAAAGACCTGGCATGGGCATCGTGGGCCAAATGGCCTAATTATGTGAGTTAGTTTCTATGAATCTATAGATTTAAGAAAACTTGAAATTGGTACCTGTAAGAGACTTGTATTGCTCCCAGTAAAGAGTTGTCAGCAGAACTACAGCATTATGAATAAGCAGTGTGACCTGATGTAGGGAAAAGGATCAAAATTCTAAGGATTCCTTGATGTCAACTAGAGCTCAAGGACATCAGCAGAAACAGGGCACAAACTCCACAGACAATATTGAGGTAATTTACTTTAGACAACCCTTCTCTGCCTTCTGGGAGGTGATTACAGAACCTTCAAACCAGGATTCAAACAAGGAATGGCTATAACAAGAGTAAGCATTCAGCAATTATGTTCCCAATATTTTATTGTTGGTCAAGAAATGTGGTTTCATAACACAGCCAAACAGTTTAAATAACAACCTTTAAATTCTTCCAACACATGCCAATGGCAAGCAGCAAGAATGAGAGAGATTCCTGGTCAGCATTGTGATGGAACAAGTGGTGGAGTCTCTACCATCAATATTCACGTCTCCAGACCACTTCATGCATTGCCAAAGCAACTCGGACTGTGTAAACTACAATACCAGCACCAACATATTCTCCATGCAACAATGCTCATTGTCAAAGTTGAGCCTAACATTAAACCAGAGTGATGTTCTTAGAGAAAAACTAAAATCAGTCTTACCCTAAACAGGGGCTACACTTTGAGGTATTAAGATTGACTTCGATTAAGACAAAATACAGATTAAATCTACACATTCCCTGCTTGCGAAACCTTACTTCCAGTTGTCCATTTATCGTGTTGATAAGCTTGGTTCCATTATAAATTTTCACCTTTACACTTATAATCAAATCACTTTTGAATAGGCTTTTAATCAGAGATTCTACCTGCCATCACAGGAGGATGCAAAACATCCCATGGCTCTATTTCAAAGAATAACAGAGGATTTTCTACTGGTTAATATTTATCCCACAATCAATATCATTAAAAATAGATTATCCAGCTGTTATTACACTGCTGTTTTTGGGAGCTTATGATGCACAAATTGGCTGCTAGGATTTTTTACATTCCAACAAAACTACTCTTTGAAAATCTGCCATATTGAATGGTAGAGTAAGCTCAAAGGTTGGATGTCCTATTGTTGCTCCTATTTTCTATGTTTTCTACGTATTTCAGTGGCTGTAAAGCACTTCAAGACATTTGGTGGTCATGAAAAGAAAGACATAAACGCACGACTTTCTTTTCCTATGTTATGCAATAATTGCACACTGTCATTAAAGAGGGACTGCAACACCTCAATGTTGCATTTTAACTGCTCTCTGAAGTGGCCCAATAAGCCGTTACAAATGAGAACAAATATTGCATAAATATTATTAGCTGTCACACTTTCTACATCACAACAGGGCCTTCACTTCAAAAACAATTAATTGGCCATAAAGTGCTTTGGGGCATCTGGTGGTTATGTAAGTGACTACATAAATGCAAGTCTAATGCCCAATCTTGTCTGATCGCAAAAGTTGAGCACACTCAGGACTGCTTAGTACTTGGATGGGAGACTGCCTCGGAACAGTAGGCGCAGTAGGCTTTGTTGTGCGATTAGTCAGTGCATTTGAACCAAGATCATTCAGGATAAAGGGGACTCTTGTGGTGCTTTGGTATGTCCCTACCTTTGAGCCAGATTGTCTGGCTTCAACTCCCTCCTGCTTCAGAGGAGTGCCACAACATGTCTGATAAGGCTGTCTAAAAATATCAATAAGTGTATATCTTCTATTTATATACAATACATGGTATAACATTTACATATATAATAACAATATGGCACATTGCTTGTCAGCAACACAAATCCCAAGAATGAATGAAAAGTCAATAGGGCCATAAATACAAGATATTGGTTAGCCGAGGCAGGAGAACCGAAAAGAATGAACATTACTTTTTCTAATAGAAAACAACCCTTTCAGAGATTGCATTGCAAATCTACAGAGGGGTGGAACTTGAACCAGGTCTCCTGGCTCAATAGTAAGGATACTACCACTGCACCAGAAGAACCTTTGGAATGACCATTTTTAAAATAGTCAAATGAAATCTGTTAAGGTACACAGCGGAAGCAAGTAGGGCTTGAATCCAGGCTTTTTAGCTCAGATGCAAGGACACCACCACTGTGCCACAAGAGCCCTGAAAGATAGTTTCGAATGACAGCTCTGTTGTTACACATCTCTGAGCAGTGTGGAACTTGAATTTAGGCCTCCTAGACCAAAGGTAGGGGCACCTTAGGGCATCACAAAAGCCCTAAGAATGAACATCTTAATATTTTCTATACCAAACTGTACAAAGGTGGTATTGCAGTACACAACTCTGCAGCAGGTGGGACCTGAACCAAGGCCTCCTGGCTCAGAGGTAGGGTCACTGCCACAAAAATCCTTGGGATGGAACAACTTAGAGAGGAAAAAGATGTGGCATCAGGTTGCAAAATATGTTTGAGAACATAGCGTTTTTAATGGGTAAAACAAAATGTAAGGACTTTGCTATAAATTGAAAATAACTTACCTTTGACATATGAAGAACTGGGTCTACACAGGTTGGGGTGATCACGTGACTTCTCCGGCCGCCGATTGGTAGGAGGCTGATCATGGCCTCTGGCCTCTGACCTTTGACCAACAGCGGTCGACCGCTTGTGCATGGCAACGGCGATGGAAGACGGCTCGCAGTTCCAAATCAACCAGCGCTTCGCCGGCAGGTACGAGAAATACCGGCAGAAGGAAGAGCTGCAACGGCGTGAGTACACAACAGAGAAGGGCCAGGGAGAAAACGGCTTGATTTGATCTGCGTGCGCGTGTTTCCCTTGTATTTAGAGATTGGTGGCAGCACGAAGCCCGATGCACTAGGCCCCAGACTCACTCATCATGTCACCTAATTTACTTCGATCATTGAAAGTATTGACCATCGTATCGTCAAATATCGATGAAAGTAATAAAACTAAGTGTGTAGCTCATCTCTAGTCGAGCTAAATAAGCAGTACGAATGGTAGATATGTACGTACCTACTTGTTTTTACTAACGCGTGCAAAACATTGGGCTTATGTAAAATTAATCTTGATAGTAGAGATAAGTAAATATTCATGTAATGGTGGAAATACGTGTGTGATATATTTGCATTATTTATAATACTTTAAGATGTTTTGATACAGATACAAAATGCATTTATGTGTAAGGTGTATTCATAAAATATGGTATGTGTTATATAGTATATGTAGTTTATACATATTTTGTATGTTAATTATATTTTCTGTTCATATGAATATATTTCTTTGTCTCTCTTTTATATGTATATATGATTTGTACCTTGGTAATGCTGAGAGTGAAGGAATAGGATAAATGCAAGGTACTTCATGCTTTCAGAATTTTAGTTATGGTCATTACAAAAACAAAATTCCTCAGACCTTTTCTTTGATTTTCAGTGAAGGATCGCTATGGAGATAGGGCAGATGAAGAAGAGAGTTCCAGCTCTGAATCTGATGATGACAGTGAAGTGGTGAGTATGCTGCACTGTCGCTGTGGTGGGGATGTGTTAAAGATGATGGCTACCCTAATCAGACCATTTTGTGCTGAATATCGTGCTCATATCAAACCCATGCATGGGCCTAAAGCTGTCACCTGAAGTCCTGTAAAGGGCTCAATCCATCTCAGATTACCTTGCAAGAATTAGGTTTGAGCAACATGGGATTCAGGTGAGCTTGCCATTTGGATACAAGACTGGCTTAATAACCAGAGACAGAGAGTGATGATGGAGGGTTGGTTTTCAGACTGGAGTCCTGCGACCAGTGGTGTTCCACAGGGATTGGTGTTGGTTCTATTTTTGTTTGTCATTTGTGTAAATGATTTAGATGAAAATATAGAAAGCATGGTTAATAAGTTGGCATATGACACAAAGATTGGTGGTATAGTCATAGTCATACAGCACGGAAATAGACCCTTTGCTCCAGCCAGTCCATGCCAAACATAATCCCAAACTAAACTAGTCCCACCTGCATGCTCCTGGCCCATATCCCTCCAAACCTTTCCTAATCATGTATCTATCCAAATGTCTCTTAAACGTTGTAATTGTACTCGCAGGGAGTTAATTCCGCATGTGAATTTCTGTCTGTGTAAAAAAAATTGCCTCTCATGTCTTTTTAAAATCTCTTTCCTCTCACCTTAAGAATATGCCTCCTAGTCTTGAAATCCCACATCCTAGGGAAAAGACAAACTACCATTAACTCTATCTATACCTCTCATTATTTTGAAAACTTCTATCAGGTTGCCTCTAAACCTCCTACGCTCCAGTGGAAAATGTCACAGCCTGTCCAGACTTTCTTTATAACTCAAACCTTCCAGGCATCATCCTGGTAAATCTCTTCTGAACCCTCTCCAGCTTGATAATATCCTTCCTTTTACTGGTGACCAGAAGCGGACACAGTATTCCAGAAGATACATCACCAATGACCTGTACAACCTCAACATGACTTCCCAATTCCTAGTCTCAAAAGACTGAGCAATGAAGGCAAGTGTGCCAAACACTTTTTTAACCACCCTATCTATATAGAATCATAGAATTCCTACACTGTGGAGACAGGCCCTTTTGGCCCGACAAGTCCACACCAAACCTCAGAGCATCCCACCCAGACCCATCCCCCTATAATCCACCTAACCTACACCTCCCTGAACACTACGGGCAATTTAGCATGGCCAATCAACCTAACCTGCACATCTTTGGACTGTGGGAGGAAAACTGAGCACCCGGAGGAAACCCACGCAGACACAGGGAGAATGTGCAAACTCCACACAGACAGTCGCCCGAGGCTGGGATTGAACCCGGGTCCCTGGCGCTGTGAGGCAGCAGTGCTAACCACTGTGCCACCGTGATGTAAACTTCAGTGAATTATTTACCTGAACCCCTAGGTCTCTCTGTTCTACAACAAAAAATCCTGATGGGCATGGATAGGGTAAATAGACAAGGTCTTTTCCCTGGAGTGGGGTAGTTCAAAACTAGTATACATAGGTTTAAGGTGAGAGGGGAAAGATTTAAAAAGGACCCAAGGGACAACTTTTTCATTCAGAAGTTGGTATGTGGAATGAGCTGCCAGAGGAGGTGATGGAGGCTGGTATAATTACAACATTTAAATGGCATCTGGGTGCATATATGAATAGGAAGGGTTTAGAACTATATGGGCCAAATGCTGGCAAATGGGCCTTGATTAATTTAGGATATCTGGTCAGCATGCGTGAGTTGGACCGAAGGGCCTGTTTTGTGCTCTATGACTACCCAAGGCCCTACCATTAATTGTATAAGCTGTACCCTTGTTTGCTGTACCAAAATTCAATACCTCATATTTATCCAGATTGAACTCCATGTGCCATTTTTCAGATCCAACCTCCTTCACTGTCTACTATGTCACCCATTTTGGTGTCGTCTGCAAACTTAGTAACCATGGCCTCTATATTCTCATCCAAATCATTTATATAAATGACAAACAAAAGAGGACCCAGAACTGATCCCTGTGGCACACTGCTGATCACAGACCTCCAGTTCAAAAGGCAACCCTCCACTCTTACTCTTTTTATCCTGCCATTAAGCCAATTATGTGTCCAATTGGCAAGCTCATCCTGAATCTCATGTGACCTGACTTTGCTAATTAGTCTACCATGCGGAACCTTGTCAGAGGCTTTACTAAAATCCAAATAAGCAACGTCTACTGCACCGCCATCATCAATCTTTTTGGTAACTTCCTCAAAAAAACTCAACCCAAGGCTGGAATCGAACCCGGATCCCTGGCGCTGTGAGGCAGCAGTGCTAACCACTGAGCCACTGTGCTGCCCAGCTAGACACCATTTGCTAAATAGTCTAGAGTGTGTGATAAATTACGCTGACAACAAATTTAGAATTGGCAAGGGTTGGTGTGAGATGAGGGAAAGGGAATTGCCTGGTCATCTTCAAATAGTACCGTGGAATGCTTTAGTGTCTATCAAAACAGACAGACAAAGACATGGCATCAAATCCTGATCACCCATCACCTCTGTGCTTGCTGATGGGCGTTGATCTCCAGTCTGACAGTTAGATTTTAAAATTCTCACCTTTCTTTTCCCTATCCCTAAGTTTCTCGCCCTACAACTTTCTCTGATCGCTGCCATTCTCCAATTCTGCCCTGTTTCTCAGCCATATTTTTCATTAGTTGGCAGCTGTGCCTTCTTTCTGCCAACCCTTTCTGCCTCTCTACCCCTCTCTCATCCTTTTAAGACATTCCGTAAAACCTATCTTTTGACCAGGTGTTTGATTATCTAGCAAAGTATCTCCTTGTGCGGCTGCATGTCAAATATTTTTTATTTACTCACGAGATGTGGGTGTTCCTGGCTAAGTCAGCATTTATTGCCCATCCCTAATTGCCCAGAGGGCAGTTACGAATCAATCACATTGCTATGGGTCTGGGGCCACATGTAGGCCTGACCAGGTAAGGACCAGATTGATTTTTCTGACAATCGACAATTAGACCCTTAATTCCAGATTCTTGTTTGACGATATTCCAATGGAACGTCTTGGATGTTTATCAATATTCAATACCCAGTATAAATGCAAGTTTTTGCTTTCTCCTCCAAATCACATTCAACGTTACATGAAAGGGTGTCAGAACTGTAAATAATCTTTGTAAATTCAAGTGGTGATGGGTCTGTCAGGTAGCTATGAGGTATCTATCCACAAAAGGGTAAATTGAAGGTAAATATCTAACCTTATTTTTGGTGATTGAACAAGTTGGCTAGTCAGAATAACTATGCTGGCTGTAGATAGCATGTAACTTCAAAACTCTCTTGTGCCTAATCTTTGCGAAACTAGCAGATTATATGCCAATTCAGTTCATTCCACAGAGTCTTTCCCAGAAAGGGCTACTCTTGCCATCTAAAATTAGCCATAAAAGAGAAAAGATTGGGAAAGTAAATCTATTCCAACTAAAATTGGGAGTTTTCCCAAATTTTTCCCCCAAATAAATGACCCGCTAACAAAATAATTCTTAAGTTGCCAGTTTCAAATTCATGTTGTTCTACCAGCAAGATTTCTTTCTACATCTGTGAAGTGATTCCTGATTTTGGAAGCCAGGTCAAATCTGATGTGTCAGCCCATTGATTTTCTTTCCCCATAAATCATTGATGTATAGATCTGTTTGTGCTCCTTTAAAAGGAAACTGACCCGAAATTGGACATCGCATTCTACAAGACGTTATCTTTGTTGAAGAAGAAGGATCCCAAAATTTATCAAAAAGATGCTCAGTTTTACAAAGTGGAAGGTAGGAGTTGATGTGATTTGACTGGTACCACGGTGGCTATTTGTGTTGGACAGCCTTGAGTGCTGTAATGTTGGTATTCTTCCCCACTGGGTGAATATCAGATTGTGCAGGAAACGTTGGTGGTGGCAACGTTTTCTAACCCTTGACTCCAGTGTCCTTTGTTTGATGAGTTTTAAGCCAATTTATGGTACAGCTCTTTACTTGCTGTTTTACTACTGCACCTGCGGATTCCAATGCACATTGCTTTCCAGGCATGTGCTCGAATCCTGGATTGGGACTTGAGCCCATGACACTCTAACTTCTGAGAGTGTGCTATCACTGCGCCAAAGCTGACTAAACCCGTGGAACTTATAAAAATGATGGTTATCCGGTCATCTGAATATCAAACTAAGAATCGCTAATATCTTTTCACTACACGTAAGTATCACGAGCGAACAAGTGCCAAGAATTTGATTGAGCTATGCACTTGGTTGCAATTAGCTAACAATGGAAAAGGCCACAGGCATTAAACAGGTTTGTCTACATCTAAAACAGAATGGTAAGTATGCCTCCAGCAACATGAGATGCTTTGTTTTGACAAAGTCTACACCCAAATTATTACCCTATCATCTCTCTTTAACCATCGGCAAACCAGTTGTGCATGTCAGACATTTTTTTTCTCCACTTTAGATTTTGGTATGGTTTCATTTTAGGAATATTTGGTATCAGTTGGCTCAGGGATAGGTGAAGAAGAGAGAAAACTGGGGAAAGAGATGCAGCTACTAAAGGAAGCCTCCCAAATTTTCTGTTAACAGAATCCAGCAAAAAACATGAGAGCGCTACAAAGAAAAAGAAAAAGGAGAAACCGATGTACCTAAAGGATTATGAGAGGAAGGTCATTCTTGAGAAGGAGGGGTATGTAATATTTGGTGAACATGTCAAGAAATGTAGGATCTGTAAGAGGAGTTTCTGCATTAAAGCCTGTTTTGTTCGAGCTATCATCTTGCATCTATTTCATTCAAAGCCATGGCCGATGCTTGAGTCCATTTGTTGATGCTGGAATATCCTTCCTTTGCATGGATGATAGCATGGACATTGAAACTTTTTCTTAAATTTTCTAAGGACATGCATTCCCATCAGTTTGTCATTGGGAGGAAGCAGATGGTTCTCTTGTTTTTATATTATTTGAGGAATGCCATCCACCCTTTGTCCATCTGCTTGTTTACTTCCTGTTTATTCTTTCGTGGGATGATAGGATCAATGGCAAGGTCTAACACTGATTGCAATTAACTGGCTTGCTGGGCCATTTCAGAGGGCAACTATGTCTCAACTACTGTTGGTCTGGAGTCATATGTATGCTGTTCTAGGTAAGGATGGCATATTTCTTTCTCTAAAGATTATTCATAAACAGGATGGAATTTTGCAGCAGTCAATGATGATTTCATCTCACTACCGTTGATGGCTAGCCATTTTTAATTTCAGGTTTTTTTTTAATATTTGAATTTAAATTCCAGCAGCTTTCTTTATTCATTCACGGGATGAGGGCATCACTGGCTAGGCAGCATTTATTGCCCATCCCTAATTGCCCACAGGGTTGTTAAGAATCAACCACATTGTTGTGAGTCTGGAGTCACATGTAGGCGAGACCAGGTGAGGATGGCCGTTTCCTTCCCTAAAAGACATTAGTGAAGCAGATGGGTTTTTTCCAACAATCGACAATGGATTCACGGTCTTCGTTAGACTCTTAATTCCAGATATTTATTGAATGCAAGTTCCACCATTTGCCGTGGTGGGATTCGAACCCAGGTCCCCAATACATTATCTGGGTCTCTGGATTAACAGTCCAGCGATAATACTACTAGCCCATCGCCTCCCCTAAGCTGAAATGGAGCATTTACCTGAGCCTCTAGATTACAAGTCACAGGAATAGGCTTTTCAGTCCATTGAACCTGCACTGCCATTCAATAAAATCATGGTTGATTGAACACTTCAGTGCCTGTTACTGTCCATAAGCCTGTATGCCAGTGGCAATCGTAAATCTATTAATCTCTGCCTTAAGTATATTCAAAGACAGAGCCTCCATACTTTGCTGTGGTAGAGAATTCTAAAGGTTCATAAACCTTTGAGTAAAATTGTTTATCCTCATCTCGAGCCAAAGTGGCATTCCCCTTATCTTTAAATTGTGCCCCTGATTCTACATCCCCAACCAGGGGAAATATCTGATTGCATCTACCCTGTCTATCCCTTTTCAAAATTTTCTAAGTTTCTATGAGATCATCTCTCATTATTAGAAACTCTAGAGAATACACACCTAGTTTGCCCAATCTGTCTTCATAAGACAGTCCCACCATCTTGGGAACCAGTCTGGTGAAGCATTCCTGTGTCTTTACCACTATGTCACTGCCTCTCTGGTTATGGTACTCAAACCTGGGAAGAAATGCCAAATTGAAGGAAGAGTTGAAAGTTCAATTCATACAGGTTTCAATGGATGTCAGTTTTCACCATTATATTTGAGCAAGACTTGGATAATAAGCACATTCCTTTTTCTTTCCTAAATGGATTTATCTTTATTACTAAGGAAATATGAAGATGAAGAGAGTGATGAAGAGGAGTCAAGAGTTAAAATTGAGGTAGGAATGCCACAAGCTATTATATTGCCATGTTTAAGTGAGTCAAATTAGTGTTGCTAGGAGTGGCCTGTGCTTTGAAGGATGGGAGATTATGTATATTCTTTTTATGGGTTCTTTTTGTAGATTCCTTTCACCATTATGGTTATAATCTGATATAGTGTGACCATGGTGGAAGGATGAGAGACGCTGGCTACTTATTTGATATTATCAGTGACTTCCAAGGCGTTAGTAACACTGTGTATAAATTAGCTAACTATATGGGATTGTTATCCAAGAGTGAAGATCCTGGTTGAGCCTGCAAAACTATTTGATATTTCCACGGCTCTGTCAAGCAGTTGCCTGTCACAGTGTGCAGAAAGATCCACTGACATTGCCACTGTAGCACCATCTCCCTCATGCTCTTAGCTCATATAACTGGTTGCTTCTCAACTGTTCATAAATAAAGGGTGTTCCAGGCTGAACTAGATCTTATTTTCACCAATTCACTGTGCGTGTGTACTTTTCCAGCAAGATTTGCTGGATGACAGAAATGAGAGACACTGACTGACTACGTAACAGAAAAATAAATCAAAGTCACTTGCACCTTTCCCACTGAAGTCAACTAATTAACCACAGACTGACTTTCATCCAAGCCTATGTTCATTTAGTCATGACCATTTTATGCAGTTATACCTCTACCTACCAGGCCAATAAAGCAGCTAATCAGTTTGGTAAAGCAAGTTCTAATACCTTGAAAAGCTGGAATATGTTCCAGTGAGCATGCCAGTAACGTTTTCCTCAGTTTTCATTGTTCTTGGCATCTAAAGGAGTCTATGAGGACTATTATTCGAAACGTGTCCATAAATAAGACAGTAAGATAATAAGACTTCTGATAGTAACAGGTGTTGTTGGGTCTTGTTTCAGAGAGCAACATCCCCTAGTTATATGGAGGAACAGAAACAGTTGAGAGAAAAGTAAGTATATGGGATCTGGTTCTTGGAATATGCATTACTTTTTAATGCAGTATTGAGTTTTCTTAGTTCATAGAGTAATATAGCACGGAAGCAGACCCTTCGGTCCAACTCCTCCAAACTAACCACACATCCCAACCTGACCTGGTCCCGTTTCCAGCATTTGGCCCATGTCCTTCTAAACCTTTCCTATTCATATACACATCCAGATGCTTTTTAAAATGTTACAATTGTACCCACCTCTGTCCCTTCCTCTGGCAGCTTGTTCCATACATTCGCCACCCTCTGTGTGAAAAATTGCCCCTCAGACCCTTTTTAAATCTTTCCCCTCTCACCTTAAGCATATGCCCTCTCTAGTTTTGGACTCCCCTACTTGGGGATAAAGACCTAGGCTATTCGCACTATCCATGCTCCTCATAATTTTCTAAACCTCTAAGGTCATCCCTCAGCCTCTGACACTACATGGAAACAAGCCCCACCTAATTGCATTTTCCAGTCCAAGAACCTGCTTTTATCCCTACACACTGGTCTGATCATCATCTTGTCCATGTGGCTACGTACAGTATATACTCTTGTAAAAGTCGAAGTTTTTAGACTGGTTTTTAAGGTTCAATTTATGGGGTCAACTATTACATAGACAGTATTTTTGAGGGACTGAAAGTCATGCTACAGTCCAAAATATTGTATCATTATCAAAAGCCCAATTGATCTCTAAACGAATAAAGAAAAAAGCACAACAAATTACAGTAATTATTGTAACAGCTTATCTTCTAGTTCAGCAGGCAGCTTTTGTTCAATCTAATTCCACTCAACAGTACTAAGTCATGCCTTCACGTGAACCTAGTGCACCATCCAGCACTTGCTTTAAAATCCAAAATTCCATTCTTCTTTGATTTGTTTCGTGTATGGATTCGGATAGCTTCATGACTAATTTTCCATTTTGATGATTTTCAAGTACCCACTCAGCAATTTTTTTTCTCCAATTGCGGCCACTTGTTAGGTTTACCTCTATAGGCACACTTTCGTTTTGGCATTGTCTGAAGTTGGTTCAATATCAGCAGTGTCTCACAAGTTTCTCCGAAACACAAAATTCACTTGCTGCTACGCATTTATTTGTCTTCTCTGCAACTTCCAGTCTAAATGCTGCTATATATTTTTTTTTTCTGGAGGGCATTTTTACACAAAATGATGAAAAAATTTCAAAACACAAAATAGCACGAAAAAAATTCATTTCCTTATCGTAACATTTATGTACAGGATAATACCTTGACTCTCAAATGTTGATCTGTTATCTGTGAAGAACTAGGGTCGCTTTTACACAAGATATATGGAAAATTCTAGATTTTTTGGCCAAAAATATGGGGTCGCTTTTATGTTAGATCGTTTTTTTATTCGAGTACATATGGTAACTCTTAATTCCAAATACTGAATGCCATTTTCTTGTTAGTCACCTGTTTGATACCTTATTGGATACTTATATGAGCATAATTTTGTCTCACTTTCTTAATCTGACCTCTATATAATGCTTTGAAGAAATATCACAATGTTATTTAAGACCTCTTTAGAAATCTGGCCGTGATTAACTCCTGTTTTCCCCAAACATTGAATAATTCTATCCCATGTGGTAGACTTGAGGTATGACTCATGTTCCCATAACTCCTGTCTTCAACAAAAGATGATGGGATAAGGGAAGGAGTTCCATCTGCCACTGCCCAGAACTTTGGCACCAATTTTGAGAAATTATATTCTGAACCTGCGTTGTTTTTGCCTCAGTTTTAGCTATGGCTCAATTGATAGCACTTTCACGCCTGGAGTCAGAAAGTTGTGGATTTGGGCACCACTCCAGAAATCTGAGCACAAAATCTAGAATCACACTCCAGCGCAGTGCTGAGGGACTATCGCACTAACAAAGTTGCTGACTTTTGGGTAAGATGTTTAAAGTGAGTCTGCTGACAATACAGCACTCCAGGGGCTATCTAACCACAGCAGAGAAGATTAATTGGCTCTCTATCTGTTGATGTGGAAAGGGAGTTGATATGACGTGGGTATGAATCTTCAAGATGTCAGCATTCAGATAGAGATCAGAGAGAACAGGTTGTCATGCTACTTATTTACCTTGAAATTGCACTTGTTTTTTTTGCATAGAATTTTCTTGATTGTTCTGTACTTTTTCTAGTTTTCGCAAGTTTGTTGAAGACAGTGATGAGGACGGTGACAGTGGAAATGATAGTGGCTTTGGTTTGCTGAAACCACGGGTGAAATCTGAAAAGGAAAAGGTGACTTTAACATTTTTATTCTCCTTTCCTGGTCTCTGTGTAGCATTCATTGTATGGGAATGATGGTAGGTTTGGCGCGGTGTGTCGTCACACCCTGTACTAGTAGATTTTATTTTTGCATGGTAAGAGACTGACCTTATTGCTCAGTTCCATGTTTTATTATAAAAGCACCATACTGTGGATGCTTAAAATCTGAGACAAAAACAAAAAGCATTAGATGTACTCAGCAAGTCTGGCAGCATCTGTAGAGCGAGAAACAGAGTTAATGTTTTGAGTCCAATATGAAGAAGAAAAGTCAAAAGTGTGACTTACCTTCATGTTGGACTTGAAATGTTAACTCTGTTTCTTTCTCCACAGATGTTGCCTGACCTGCTGAATATTTCTAGCACTGTTTTTCTACATTTTTATTGTTGTAGTATCCCTACAAAACTGCAGTGATTCCACAGCTTTGCATGAACTATGTAGAAATAAGTGAGATAGATCATCAATACATATTGTCAATGGGAGGAACGGTGAAATGAGTAGGAACTTGGCAATCTTTACTACTTATAAATGTTTCTGTGCTAATTGTCTCTATAATACATTCAATTTTGAATATTCTAATAGCGTGGGTTTTGTAGTCATTGTTAACATTGGTTACTTAGCATCCTGGACTCTTTCCAATCATGCTTTTTAAAATCAGATCAGATATAACTGATGATGGGCCAGGGGGGAAGCTTTTTTCAAGAGAGAGAACTCGCATTCTGTTATTTAAAGCTCAATATTAGCTAGGTCTATTGCTTCAGAAATGCCACATGCCCCAGCTCCCTTTTTTAATTTCCTGCTGTCCACATTTTCATTTCCTTTTCATGGCAGTGCAGTTGGAAAGTTTGTGAACTATGACTATTTATTTAGCCAATAATTAACATCTATCACTCTTCTGCTTTCAAAGGAAAAAGAGGAGGAGTCCTACATTAACTGGCTGAAAGGGCAAAAGTGTTCACAAGTAAAGGCAGAATTGCAAGATATGGTGAGTACCCTCTATTCAGTTGCCATCAACTTGGTGTAAGCAAACTTGAGAATGCTATGTATGTGTATAATTTGTCTTACTCATGTTACATTTTATAATATTTAAACCGGTTTGGCAGAATGCATGTATGTCCCAGTGCCCATTTATATCTTTATAGGTGGAAACATTTTGAGGGAGTTAAGAGATTATTTATCTGATGCAGAATACCCAGCTTCTGACCCATTCTTGTAACCAGTGTTTATGTGTCTGGTTCAGTTAAGTTTGTAGACAACATTTGCCACTAGATGTTCAAGGTGGGGTTGATGGTTTTAGGGCTATTTTTGCCATTGAATATTAAGAAGAGCTGGTTAGGTTTTTTTGGTGGGGGGGAGGAATAGTCTTTGCCTGGCATTTTAGTGATATGACTGTTTTAATGAACAAATACATTAGCTGGTGTAGTGCGTAACCACACAAATATTTCAAGTTTAGTGCCTTGTTAGGTGATGCTTACTAAGGCAATGTTTAAATAGTCCTAGTATCTGAGCTGTGAATGGGAAAGAAAACAGCCTAACTCATTAAGTTAGGTGGATTGGCTGTGCCAAATTGCCCATAGTGACCAGGAATATGCAGGCTAGTTGGATTAGCCATGGGAAATGCAGGGATACAGGGATAGAGTAGGGGTGTGGCTCTGGATGGGCTGCTCTGCGGAGGGTCGATGTGGACTCAATGGGCCAAATGGCCTGCTTCCACACTGTAGGGATTCAATGATGCCAGCTTTGGTTCAATATTAGTGACCCCTGCTGTAAAGTGAGCACATGTAAGTATCCAGGTGGACTTTCATGCAAAGAAGGGTACTATTAAGCACTAGCAGTCACAGTGGCCAAAGTCAGGGCTTCTAGGAATGAAGGAAGTTGGTGTTGAAAAATACAGATTTTAATGTAGCAATAAAGGAACATGTTGTACGAAGTTGTGCGTAACTACTCATTGCCCAAAGGTCTCTTATAATTACTTAGCTGAAATTATATCAGTGAGCTGTTCCGCAATTTGCATCTCTTCAAATGTTGTGCATAGAAGTTTTAGTCTTACAAGAACTTGCCGCTTTCTTGACTTTGCACTTGCTAACATTGTCAGATTTTGCCTTTCCCTGTGCTTTAACGACTGATTAGTTTGGCTCTTAATCAGAAACAATAGATTTCTTGATGTCAGCAAGTACCATTGGTTTACCACATCTGACCATATTACCAGCTAATGGAGGGTTTTGTCAATGGTCAGGCCAAATATTAATCTTGCAATATTAATCTTGCGATCTTATAATTCGATCTGAAAACGAGTCTTCCTCAGAATTAACTAACTTTTAGAAATAAGCCATTTCCATTTGGATATTCCTTTACTGAGTGAAAAAGAAGGGTAGTTTTTTTTAAGGTTTTTGATGAAACAATTAGACTTTTTTTAAACTAGGAATGCTCAAAGTGTAGGCCATGGACCATATATGAAACATTTCAGTGAACAGCTTACTTTGTAGGAACTAGTATTGAGCTCCAAAAATAGAAATTGCTGGAAAAGTTCAGCAGGTCTGGCAGCATCTGTGGAGAGAAATCAGACTTAACGTTTTGGGTCGAGTGACCCTTCCTCAGAACTGATGGTAGCTAGGAAAATGTTGGTTTATATGCAGAAAATAGGGGGCGGAGGGGGTAAGGAGTAAACGATAGATGGGGATAGAGCCCAAAGAGAGAGAAGAGCAGTTGGACAGATACAGGAGTGGTTAACAATCTGGATAGGAGGGTGAATGGCTATTAATAGGGACTGTTAGTCTGCTATTACACACCACCCATTGTTAGCCACAATGTGATAACAAGGCCTGGTTTGTGGGGGTTGTGGAAGGACATAGGGCTTTAGCTCTCCCAAAATTATTGAGCTTGATTTTGAGTCCAGAGGGCTACAGGGTCCCCAAGCAGAAAATGAGGTGTTGTTCTTCCAGCTTGTGCTGAGTTTCGCTGGAGCACTGCAGTAAGCCTGAGACAGAGATGTTGGCCAAGGAACAGGGTAGTGTGTTGAAGTGGCAGGCAACTGGAAGTTCAAGATTTTATTTTGGACAGAACACAAATGTCCTGTGAAGTGGTCACCCTGTCTACGTTTTGTTTCCCCAATGTAGAGGAGACCACATTGTGAACAGTGAATGCAGTAGATTAGATTATGTGAAGTGCAGGTGAAGCGCGCTGCTTTGCCTGGAAGGTATGTTTGGGCCCTGGGATACTGAGGAGGGAGGAAATGAATGGACAGGTGTTCCACCTTCTGTGGTTGAAACGGAGGGTGCCATGTGGCTGTTGGGGGGGTGGTGGGGAGGGAGGAAGAGTGGACCAGAGGGAGCAGTCTCTGTGGAAGGCTGGCAAGGGAGGGGAGGGGAATGTGTGTCTGGTGGTGGCATCTTGCTGGAGGTGGTAGAAATGGCAGGTAAAGGTCCTCTGGATGTGGCTGCTGGTGGGATGGTAGTATTGAGCTCCAGTGACTTATCAGATAGTCCAAAATAACTCTTTGGCTCTTATGTCTGATAAGCAGCTTGGGATATTTTTCTACATTGAAAATGCCATATAAATGTATGAATCAGCATATGGTGGCTACTATCAACAATATTTGTGATGTATTTGCTCATGTACTGTAATGTAAACTATTTTATAATTTGTATAAACAAAATCCTTGTAAATTGGCTAGATCTGAAATATAAAGCGGTCTGCCTGTAGAATTTTCTCTTTTTAGCACTTCATGGTACGTGGGATACCAGGGAAAGTACTGTGATGCTACCTAGATCCAATTGAAAACTACAATTTTGTGAACTTTTAATGCCAGGCTGTAGTATTTAGGCAGCCTGTCACACTGTACACAATGCAGTTAATGTACAGACTTACAGGATTGATTGTAAATGTTGCACCAAGAAGTAGAGTTCCACAGATTTGGATTCAGTAAAGTGATTCTTTTTCCTTCACTTGCGGCATTCCTTAACTTCAATTACTCTTTTGCATACGCTCTGAATAAAGTCTTAAGAAGTCTCCAGTGTGGCTGGAGTCTCCCCTGATCACCTCTTGTTAACTAGTAACCTTTGATTTACCTTGACCTAAGTCAATAGCTAGTGCACCATATGCCCACTGTCCATGGCTGTTGAGGAAAAACATATTTTAAAAATATCTTTCCTTCATAAAAAGAGAGTGTATCACCAAAAATAGTACCTTGAGGTGGAATCCTGCATAATTCTAGGTAGCACCAGCTTATGTTTAGATTGCTATAGTCCTGCTAGTCACTCAATGATAAGGCTGCTGAAATGCAATACTGTGATATGAGGATTTAATGACCTGTGGTAGGAATTGTGCGACAACTGCTGGCATTTTCATACCTTTTTGAGGGAGGTGCCTTGTCTGTGCTGCTTCCCTTTCCCAAACTCATATAACACATTAGGAATCCAGGTGATGATATTTCAAATCTATTTCCTAACTATGCTGGCACCACTATTACATATTGTTAATTGTTTGAGTACTGCTTGTCAAATATAGAACTTATTCCAAATATATTTCCTTCACTGATTATCATTTTGTTTTTGTGATGCAGCAATATCTAAGGGATTATTGGAATGATCCTCAGTTGGAAGAAGGGGAGAGGTTTCTCCGGGACTATATTCTCAATAAAAGATATCTTGAGGAAGAAGAGGAGGAGGAGAAAGAGAGGTAAGATACATTTTTAAGTAGCAGTGTTCTAATAATTGTTATTCAAACATTGGTTGTGAGCTTCACTGTGTGGACCAGCATTTATTGCCCATCGTTCTTTTCATGATTTAATTCAACTTCTTCTAGTACTGTAAAAATCAAAAGGTTCCTCCTATTGATGCCCTGACCCCAATTGGAGTATAATTGTTCCATGTAGCAATAGTGTGTGACTATGTTTATGTTCCAGCCAAGATATTTATCAGAACAATTTAATGGCTTCCTTAGAATAATGTACTCGAAAGATGAACTTTGGACACAATCAGCTGTTTTATTGCAGTATCCAATTTCAACCCATTTAAAATTGAATATCAGCAGTGGCAGTTTTTATTACTGTATGTTGTACAGTGTTTGCAAAGTAAAGTTCAAGCGTATTCATAAGGGGGTTGCTTTGGCCAAAAAGACGATGACTGTATTTAGAAATTTGGTAAAGATTAATCGCAGTGCTTCGAAAATGAACCTTGCATTTGTATAATGGCAACTTGAATTTATATAGCACCTTTAGCACAATGAAACATTCTAAGGCATTTCATAGGAATTTTATGAAACAAATGAGACACCTCGTAGTACAAGATATTTGGTCAGATGACTGAAAGTCCAATAGGTAGATTTTAAGAAGAGTCTCATAGTTGGAAACTGAGTTGAGGAGATGTGCAGAGAAGGGAAGTCCAGAGTTTGGAGCCAAGGCAACTGAAAGCTCAGCCTCCAATGGTGGCGCAGTTAGAATTAGAAATACAAAAAGGGGAGTCACAATTGCAGGAGTCTGAGGCTGAGAAACTGAGTCCTTCATTGATCTCAGTGTTTTACAATTCATATCAATAACTTGGGTATGTTGCAAAAACACAATAGCTAAATCTGCAGTTGGTACAAAGATAGGTGGGGAAAATATGTTGTGAAGAGGACAAAAAGGGAATGAAGGCATATAAAGGTAGGTTGAGTCAGTGGGCAAAACTCTGGCAGATGGAGTATAAGGTAATGAAATGTGAAGTTGGCAGGAAGACTAAAAAAGAAGCATTATTACTTAAATGATGAAACACTGAGGTGCAGAGGGACCTAGATGTTCTAGTTCATGAGTCACAAAAAGTTACTGTGCAGGTACACTGAGTAATTAATGAAGCTAATGGAATGCTATCTTTTATTCTAAATGTAAAAGTAAGGATGTTACGTTTCAATTATGTAGGGCATTGGTGAGACTACATCTCAAAGTGCATACAGTATTTTGGACTGCTTATTTCAGGAACTGTGTAAATGTGTTGGAGGCAACTCGATGGGATTTACTAGACTTATAACTGGAATGAAGAGGGCCTCTTATGATGAGCGTTTGGACAGGCCAGGCTTGCTTCCACTGAAGTTTAGAAGAGTGAGGGGTGAATTGACTGAAGAATATAAGACCCTGAATGGTCTTGACAATTGAGGAAAGTGTCATGACCTGCTTGGTAAAGTATCCTGCTACTCAAGCCTCACTACTCCGTGGGTTGTCACAGAAGGTAAAAATTTCATTGAAGTACTCAAAGTTCCCAGTTTACCTGTCTAATGGACTCTGGTTAACAGAAAATACTGACCAGGTTTCTGTACTTGAGGACTATTTATTGCTAATAATTCAATTGTAACTACAGGCAAGCAAAAATATGAATTATAATTCTTCTAGTTGAAACTCTATAACTCCCTTTTTAAACACCTACATTTACAGACTTACATGGGTGTTAAGGATAGAGGAAAAGATACTGAGGAAACACAGTTCAATAGCACCAGTCCACAGGAGTCGATGAGGTGCCCTTTTTGTTGCCCAAGGCTTTTTGTTCTCGGACGTACTTATTTCCAGTTCGTTTTAGTTCTTTCCAGTGGACACGAGGCAGTTTGTTATCCAATTGTAAAGTCTTTCATTCACTGATTAGGAAAAACAACTTACAATAACTGGGTGGGAGAGAATACCTTTATTTCTTCACTAAATAGAGAGAAAGAGACCTTGTCTTTTCTGCAGTGTGGAGGCTTCACCCTTTATAATCATGTAAACACAAACATAGGTTAATATCTTTTATTTAAATAAAGCAACTGACGTACACAGTTCTGTACACAAAAAGCCATCACCCAAATCACACTATCTGTAGACTGGCAAGTTCACAGCTAAATGGTTGCATGTTTGTCTCTAATGGAGTCACTGACCTTTAGTCATTCACAACATATGAGATACTTTGAGACACGATGAGACATAATGAGGCTTTATGTAATAGAAGTGGTCAATATTAAATTGTAAATTTAATTAAATATTGTAGAGGTGTGTGTGTGACTGTGGGGGTGCTTTCTGGGATGGAGGGAAGGGGTGGATATATGTTAGAGATACTCTGTATGGCGTCCTCTGGGAGTACGTGGGCGTGTGACTTTCGGGGGTCTCTGTGCATGTGATTAAAGGGGGTCCTAGGAGCTTGTAAATATTCATATATGGTGCTTCTCCATGACTTGAAATCCATTTTCATTACTTCCAAATGATGATCTTGTGAAGAAATATTACCATAAAATTGAGCTCTGGCTTAGGGAGGCTAAACCTGCCAGGCAATGGTTCCTGCTGTTGATTACTATCGACAGAACCCGCCCCTGCTGCCCCCCCACCCCCAAAAAAATGTGTTGGTGTCAGGAGTGCTTGTCTGTGAACTGTGATTTCCCCCACCAGCTGAATAGCAAATTGAAGTTCACTGGCCCTGCACATGAACAACCGTTTGCTTGAAGTACAACCCTATGCAATTGGACTAGTAACATTTGACGATGAGCGAGATGGGGGTTGCTGAAAAGGAGGAAGCTTTTTTTGTTATTTGAATAATTCCCAATGCAGTTCCTGTATTGCCACTATTTCCTCACATTTTTTATTGCCCCTGTATTTAAAAAAAACTGCCTTTTGTTCCTCACCTTTCCAAAGTAAAATATAAGCATGATTTAAAATACAAAATCAAGAGGAAAAGCCTTGAAATTCGAGCTTGTCTGTTCAGGGATGATGCCCAGGGTGTACCAAGTCTGGTAGAAATCTGTACTTGGTAGAGGATGGGGATCAATTGAAAATTTCGAAATGACGTTAGGTAGGTATTTGTTAGGTCAGTGACGTTGAGGGTTGTGCAAGCAAGGCTGTGTGGATTGAGTTCAGATACAGTCAGCCATGGTCCACTCAAATTGGAGGGAAAGGCCCAAGTAGCTGAGTGGCTGCCTCCCCGTCACACTTGTAACTTACAAATTGGATCCCTGCAACTTTGCGTGTAACTTTGGGTGAACTGTTGTATGTCAAGGTCAGGGCACTGGTGGGTCAGCCATCTGCTGGCAAGGGACGTGTGTAACCCTGATACAGTGTTGCTTGATGGAGTAACAACCGTTTAACGAGCCAACTCTTAATTTTCTTTTTATGCATTGATGGGCTGCTCTGACTTGTGTTATAATAAGTTGCTGCTGGTATTGAAACCTGATTTCTGAGGTGAGATGTTGACTGCCTCAGCCAATTAAATGCAACTGACAGATGAGCAGGAATTATGAAACCAGTTGTCTTTTTTTTTTTTGCAAAAATGTTAACTAAATTTCTTTTTTGCCCCTCTCAAAGTCTCGCCTTGTTGTCCCAGGTCAGGGGAAGGGTTTGAAAACCATTCCGCTTTCAACTGATTAGCCATTTCCAAAGATTTGTCATTAGAAGCTTTGACCAATGAAACATGAGCTGGTGACAAGTGGGAATTTTGAAACAGTTTTTCTAAAATTTAAATATTACAATTTCCCTCCGAAAGCAGAGCTCCCTTAACCCAGGGCAAGTGGGGTGGTGTCTGGACACCTAAGGCTGCTAAAAATCCAGTTGGCTAATTCCAATCATGTGTGTTATCAGAGAACTTGACCTATAAGATGGCAATAAAAGGGAATTACGATGCTGTTATTTTAAAATGTAAAAAAAAACTACTTGTTTTCTCCCCGCAGCCTGCCTATAGGTTAGGTCTAGAAACATCCTATGCAAATGTCTTTCGATGTCCCTCCCATATTCCCTGCTGCTACAGGTGAATGGCGCTGATCTTGCATTCCTTTAGTCCTTTAGTCCTCCAGTTCTAGCCTGATGAGCACTCCCAGTTTTCACTGCTCCATCACTGGTGGCCATACCTTCACCTCCCAAGCCCCTAAGCATTGGAGTCCCCTCTCTAAATCCCCCTCTACTTTTGATAATCCTTCAAACTGAGCCTTTGGTTAACCATTCAAATGTGAGTCCGTGTCAGATTTTGTCTCGTAAGTACTGTTTTGAAGTGCCTGTATTAAAGGTGCTACATAAATGTAAGTTATCAGCACCAATCTGCCAAGCCAGTGTATAAATCTCTGATTTGATTGATAAGTTCATTACCTGTTTTACTCCCTGCATAGACTAACAGCGTGCCTCATTCAATTCATTATATGTTGTGAATCAGCTTCTTAGCATACCTTCAAACACTCCCACCCACTGCCCAACCACCACACCCGCGCCCCCCCCCTCCCCCGCAACAATGCTTTAGGGATTAGTGAGGAGGTGGTGGAAGGATTCATATGTTGATTATTAGCTCATTTGAACTGGTTCATGAATGTTCCTTTTATGACCACTGAGTTCTGATGGGGACTGGAACCTGAAAATTTCTGGCCCAGAGCTGGGGATGCTATCCATTGCACCCCACAATGAGTTAGCTACTCTCACCTCGGACAGTGTTCAGTACAGAACAACGTGCCTCATGTATCCTTGGTTTGGAGTGAAAATGACCTGTTAAGATTCCAGTTCTTGACTATCTCAAAATGGAAGTTTCAATATTTGCATAACTTACAGTTTCACGGTGTGTTAATGCTGACTGCATGCTGTTCATTATACGTTACATGGAGTAATCCATTGTAGAAACAGGTTATTTACCTCCAACCTGCCCATGATCTACTCTGTGCTCCACTCAAGCTTTTTCCCGATCTTTGCTTATCTATCAGCATACGCTTCTCTTCCCTTCTCCCTCGTGGGTATCCAGCCTCCCCTTAGATTTGTGCGTACTGTTTGCCTCAGTCACCCCCCCGGGTTGTAGTGAATTCCATATTCTTACCATGCTCTGGATAAAGAGGTTACTTACAAATTCCCTGTTCGATTTGATGGTGACTGTGCTATATTGATGGCCTCTAGTTTTGTTTTTCCTTTCTTTTTCCCCCCTTGCATCAACAAGATTTATAGATTGTTGATGGCAGAGACCTGAGTGGGACTTCTTCAGCTCATGTCTCCTTATCCTAAGTCACGAACAGCTCAACTTTTTTGAGGGTAAAATATAATTTTATTTTTGAGTGGAATTTTTATGATTTCTGTTCATTCTCACCTCACAAGCCGACAGTGAGAGCAGGCCTGATTTTGACAGTGTCCTCCAGGATTCAGTAGTCATATGTTTGGCCAACACAGTTATTCATTTGGGTGAGATACCAGTTGATTGTCAGTGCAGTTAAAACTGTGCAAGAGAAGTAGATGTGTTCAAGATAGAAGCAGAAAAATGGAATTTTAAAAAAAAGTGATGCTAATGTTTTATCTACTGAGTGGAGTCTGAGAGCTTTCTTTAGATTGAGTAGGATTAAGAGGTATGAAATAATTGGAAAAGGGCGTGCTGACGTTGTTTGGTCTGCATGTTAAATCGTATTTGTATTGAGTTCTGCCGTAAGTGCCTCAAAGCAATCAAACAGCTTGCCAATAAACAAAACTAGGTGTACAACAGAGGATGTTTCGACCTGGCCAGTTGTATCCCAATAGAGAGTGCTTTGGGAATGGAGAATGGAGAAACAAACAACTCTGCATTGAATCAGTATTGGCAATTAAAACAAGAAGAAAATTCTAATTATTCAATGGTGACTGAGTGACATTGACATGTAATTTTCAATGAAGAATTGCATTGAGGCTGCCCAAGCTCACGTCGCCTAGCATCCTATGGCAAACAAGGGAAAGGTTCAATCCATCAACCTGGGATGGGTTTCAACACAAAGTGTTAACATGTAAGCTGCAGCAACCAAAATCTTCTCTCTTCTTCCCCTTCGCAGCTGTGTACACTGCTAGGGTCCACTGCAGTGCAGCTCATCTTTTTTTCACCTTTTCAACAATTGGTAGCAAGTCTGAAGGAGAGGAAGAGAAAGATGCCCTTGCTTGTTTGCCCATGTGATTGCACATGGCATTCGTGCGTGTAATAATCGGATTTCTGTTGTCGTAATCCTGCAGACATTTGTAGGATATTCCTTGCCATTTTAGACAGATTGATGCAAGCTGATAGTTTCTTTCCTGTTTCCTTGTCATGGTCCTGAAGAATTCCAACATATGATGAGATTGTCCAGGATGAAGTGGATGACTCCGAAGATGATGGGGAACTATTTCTGAGGAAACAGGAAGACTTTGAAAGAAAATATAACTTCAGATTTGAAGAACCTGATGCAGAATTTGTGAGCCGATTACTATTTGTCTAAAGATAGTATTTGTCTTTCGACTTACTAGTCTCAGTTGTGAACAGCTGTTCTTTTATTTATAGATTAAAGCCCCACGTTCACAGTCGGCTCTGCTGAGCTCACTGCTTAAACCCAGTCTGGTCTCTGGTAGTGGAAGGGGCTGTAAATTTGGGTTTAGCAGCCTCTGGTAGAGAGGGGAAAGGGGACATTGTAGGAGGAAGGATTGTCGAGGGTTCCTGTGGCCGTCCACTGTCCAGGCACCCCACCCAAGAGCAGTGTTTGGACAGGACAGGACAGGTTCAGGTTTAGCTGTTGAATTGTTGGCCAGCATACAACACCCTTGGCTACCCAGAGATCATAGGCCAGGTGCCTTCTGTCATGTTACACACATGGAATGTTTGAATGCCTTCAGGAAAACAATGGCAGGTGGTGGGGAAGTGGGGCAAAATGACTAAACTCACATGTCACCCGCAGAAAAAAGTGTCAGAGTGCCACCGTCAGACGATGGGGACTGGGTGCTAAGTTTGTCCCCTTGTGATATTACATGACATGGGGAAAAAGGGGAAAGGAGCAGTGGAAAGGAGGGGGGAGGATAGCCATAAATAACAAATTTAGATTTGAAAATGGAGCAGGAATGTAAATAATTCAAAAATATAGAGACTACTGAAGCTTGCTCCACAGAACTCCCTGTTGAACAGAATCTGAAGCTCCAATGATCAAATCATTCTGCCCAAAAAAAATACCAAATCCACAAAAAGCAGGCATAATCCAGCCAGCCAGTCTCTATCATCAGCAGAGAGATGAAACATATTGTGAAAGTTTCTATAAAGCGCTGCTTGCTCGGCAATAACTGCTCACTGACACTCACTCTGGGTTCCATAGGGCCACTAAGCTCTTGACCTCATTACAGCCTTGGTCCAAATGTGGAAAGAAGAGCTGAACCTCAGAGATGATGTGAGAGTGACTGCGCTCGATATCATGGCAGCGTTTAACTGTGTATGGCAACTCACCCAGGGTTCTTTGACAGCATCTTCTAAACACACAATGTTTAACACTTAGAAGGACAAGGCATGCGTGAAAACATCATCACCGGCAAGTACCCCTCAAGTCACAAGCCACCTTGACTTGGAACTATATTTTTGTTCCTCCTCTGTTGCTAGGTCAAAATCCTGGAGCTCACTCCTTTTAAACCATTGTGCATGTACCTGCACCCCATAGAATGCAGTACTTCAAGAATGTAACCTATCACAATCTTCTCGAGGGAAATTGGGAATGGGAATAAATGCTGACCTAGCCATCAATGTCCATATCCTGTCAATGAGTTTTTTAAAAATCGGCCTGTTCTAGTTCTTTGAAAAAGTTATCCAATTAGTCCCACACTCCCTGCTATCCCTATAATCCTGCTAATTTTCCCCACCTTTTGCAACTGTTGACGCAAAAATGTCGATGTTTCCCATTGCAACGGCAATTTGTAGTAGTAAGGTTGAGCATGTTAATGTGTTCTGTATATTTTACAATAAAGAGCCTGATTTGCAAGGTTGTGAATTTTCTTGAACTTTACTGATCATTTATTCCGTACTACAAGAGCTCCACTGTTAATTAGTGGTGTTTTCAATCATCTTCCTATAAAGTAATGTTGAGGGTGAAAAACTAACTAGTAAGTCTGACTCTTGCTTGCACAGACCTGCGGCAAGGCAGTAGTAAAAGGGTGTTGTTGTGTATATGTATATATCTAGCTGCATTCCTTGAAGTAACTGCAGGACCTTTATGACAGTTTTATTTGTTTTATAGTCATTGGCTTTTGGGGCCTTCTAAAACATTGATGTGCCCTTTCCTCTTTTAAAGATAAAATCATTCCCAAGAACGATTGCAACCTCGGTCAGAGCAAAAGATGATAGAAGAACGCGCAAAAGAGAAGAAATTAAGGAAAGGAAGAAAAAAGTAAGTTTCAATTATTTTCATTTGATTAGAAATTACCATTAAAGCTGAGTGGGACTGTAAAGGTTTGGAATATTTCTCTGCATTTTGTTTATTTGTTCACTGATTGTATCAGACAGGTTTCCTCCAGTGCACATTAACATAGCAGTGGTATAGGCCATTCCACACAACATAAAATGCAGCCATCTACCACCCACCAGAACAATGATCAGTCCTCCACACTCTCGATGTAAAGCACAATCCTTTGCTGTCAGTGCTTGGTTAGACTAGCAATTTGCACCATAGAGAGCTTTACGGTCTACGCATGCAGTGAGTTCCCTGGTTACACTGTGCCTCAGAAATCCGCAAGTATCATCAAAGCACTTCCTGTGGTTGGAGGGAAATTACAAAACACTGGTCAGCCTAGCAACACTCGCTAAACAAACTTCTTATTTTTGCTTCAATCTTTATGAATTGTCACTTTAGGAGAAGGAAAAGAAGCAAGAAGAGATAAAACAACTTAAGAAGCTGAAGAGGATGGAGATTATCAACAAGCTGAACCGGTTAAAGGAGATAACTGGGAACGAAACTGTCGGCTTCGATGAGCAGCACCTGGAGGAAGACTTTGATCCAGTCAAGCATGACCAGTTGATGCAGGTTTGATACAAGAGGAAAAATAAGCCATGCTTTGCAGAGCCAGTTTAATAACTACTTTACAAAAAGAATGCAAGCTTTCCTGACCAAGAAACCTTTCTTTTTATTATTTTCCCCTGCAGCAATTCTTCAACGATGACTATTATGGAGTAGGAGATGAGCAGAAACCACAGTTTCAGGATGACGAGGAACTTGGTGGTAACTTATCCCTTTTGGAAATGTACTTGAGAGATGTAAATTAAGTACAGCCACACTGACATCGCACTCTGTCTGAACTTCTGGGGGCTGAACCACACATTCATTACGCCACCCACACATGTATGACTAGTGGATTCATTAGGATAGATGGCCGGTCTGTGATCTGGAAGCATAAATGTCCAATGAAATTGCTAACCAGACCTAACCCATTGTTATATTGCTGGGACAAATGCCACATAATATGATAAATAATTGCATTCAAAAGAAATGTGCTTGGTTTGCCTGGATACTAGATCACAGTTCTAAGTATCCAATGGAGCCAGGTTTCTCCTCTTTGCTGCCATTGTAACTTGTTGCACTGTCCAGTATGAGTGCATTTCATGTTAAATTTTTGTGTGTGTAAAGGTTGTAATGTCAAATCGTCAAAAGTTTAACTTTGAAAATGGCACTTTACAGTAAGATTTTTGTTCTTGTGTGTCACTGCAGTCTTGCCCTTCTTTACATTATGCTGTGAGCATTTTCATTTGTGCATTTTCTGATTGAAAAGTGCCAATGGTGTGATTACTGCAGTGCTCCCAATGTATTGTGACATGGAAGTAGCATGACCCCACAGTAAGAACATTTCCTCACTCCTTATGATGAGGCTAATTTCTTTACATGGGCAAGAGACTCCTTGGATTGACCTCTGCCCTCTTCCTAGTTCAGCTGATCTTAAATTGGGCAGCAATGTGGCACTACAGTTATCTTCAGCAAAGATTCCCATTCCTGATCATTGCTGAGTACAGTGCCTACTACTGGATAAGTCTGGGCGCGTCCCCCATCATGGGGGAGATACAGTGTAGTGGCATTGTTAGTGGACTAGTAATTCAGATGCTTGGGGAAGTGTGGGGTCAAATTCTACCACACGAGCTAGTGGAATTTAAAATTCAATTCATAAAATTTGGAATTGAAAGCTAGTCTCAGTAATGATGGCCATGAAATTATCATTGATCCTCCTTGAGGGAAGGAATCTGACCTGTACGTGATTGGGGATCCACAGCAATGTAGTTTATTTTTACCTGCCGTCTGAAGTAGTCTAACAAATGAATCAGTTCAAAAGCATTTGGAGGTAGGCAACAAAGACTGGCCTTGCCAGTGACCAGCACATCACATGAAATAAATAAAGAAAAGAATGGCTAATTAATTGCCAAGTCCCAGGAGTCAATGTTTAATCAATCTTGTTGGCGAAGGATGGCACTTCAGCACCAAAAGTATTATTTGTACACTTTTTCGAAAGGATAACTGGATTTAGTTGCAATTCCTATTTATGTTTACACCAGATGAGTGGAATTGGGATACGTGGACAGGAGCAGAAAATGGCTGTGCTGATGGAGAGGAAGAAGAACAGTGGCAGCAAGAGAGTTTTGAACCACACTGTGACGATCCGGATTTTATTGTAAGCTGAACTTTATTTTAATTCCTATTGCTCGCTTCATATTGCTATAAAATTGAGCTTACATTGTAGGAGTTTCTCTTTAGGGGAGAGCTTGGAAAACTTTGGGAGAGGATGTGCTGTAAAGTGTAATTTTCCTTCTCCTGCACAGTAACTCTGCAATCTGACCACTGAATAGACACTGAAATATCAGTATTTCTCTTAACAGATGGATGCAGATTATGATCCCAGTCAACAAGTAATCTCCTCGAAGAAGAAAAAGAAACAAAACACTCCTCTCATGGGCAAGAAAAGGCGGAAGTCTAAATTTGCTGAGGCAGTTAGCAAGGCAAAGCCAGCATTTGATCCCAGTAAGTGTCTCTGTCAGCCTTTGAGTTGGGCTGTCCATCCACCCACTACTTATAGTAGCTGATCTACCTGGCATCATAAAATTGAGTAGATAGTTTAAACCCTATACTCACTGGGTAAAGGTTGAGGCAGAAACATTAACTTCTCCCAATTGTTGGACTCGCTAATGGAATTCACAAAATGGTTTGTGTGTTCTGGATTGATACAAGAAGAGAATCCTCACCTAGAGGTATTTGGCATCACATATGCATGGAATAGAATTTTAGGAGGGATTTTTACTTCTGGCTGTGCTACACCTCACCGAGGAGTACTTGATGCTGACTTGAGTGTCTGAAATGGACCACATTCTATTTCTCGGCTCTCCATTTTCTTGCATAATGAGGACAACAAGTACTTTCGTCCAAGATTTTATTTATGCTACATGAATCTTGCAATTGAACAATTAAGCCAACCCCACACCATGCTGAGAGCTGGGCTGCACGCATAATTCTCCTACCCCTCTGCCATGTATGTGTGTCTTTTTTTTTTTAACAATAACATGTTGTAAGAGATCTGCGCAGCTGGCACCAGATTTTGCGAGCAAATCTTTGAGTAGATTTGCAGCCAGCAGATTTCTTATAGCAGAAGTCTACAAGGCTCGCTGCTATTAACCAGTTACATTGTAACCAAAGGAATCATCAGCAGAAGAGAATCCCACTTGAACAATAACATAGTTGTAAGATAGCATGTTATATTAGCTTAAAGCTGATTAACTAACCCTAGGTAAGGGACATCTAAGTAACTAGATCTATGCTACATCTGTAGACTGCAGAACTGTCTAAAATCTAGCAACAAACTAACAAGCAATTGCTAGAGATAGTTGTTTGTACCTTGGTGATTGGAGCTATTTCAAAGCTTCAGAGTTAATTCATTTACGCCAACTGTCTTATACAGCACACCTCTGCAAGCTTACATTTCTTTGCCCTTAGTGTCCCATAATTTGGAGCATATTTTTCCCTAGCCTTTTGAATTAAGTAAACTCAGTTCCGTGTGGAGTGTTCAGACTGGATAGGTTTGATGAATTTGAGGAAAAAGGGAGTAGAGTGATATAGGGCAGGATAGAAAACAGTGATCACTGGGAGGAGGTCACACAACGTAAGCTCTGGGATCGATCATTTGGCCTTTAGAAATTGTTTCTTTGGTCATGTGAAACACACAATCTGATTGAAGGGGTGGCGATATGTTATATATTTTCACTTGGCTCATTTCAAAAGTATTTTGATGACAGGTCACATTGAGCCTTTAACTAAGTGAATGCTTTTGACCAGACATTTTTATATTACAGAGGACAAAACCTTTGAACAGTACTTGGATGAGTACTACAAGTTGGATTATGAAGATATCATTGATGACTTGCCCTGCAGGTTCAAGTACAGACAGGTTTTGCCTAATGACTTTGGGCTCAGCACAGAAGAGGTATGTTTGTACTTTTCTTGCAGATTTACCCGTAGGCCCCTGGACACTGCATGTGCTGTAAACCACAAGCCTGGATGGCAGCAAGGCTTCAGTCATGACAGCCTTGGCTTTGTATAGTGCTGAGTGATCTAGGAGGGTAAGAAAAGTTCATGTACAGCTTGAAAGACATCAAAAGCACAAGTGAAAGGACTGAGATGAAATAATTTTGGGGAAGTATTCCACAAAAAAAAACAAGAATGTATTGACCGAAAACAAGTCCAAAAGATAGTGAAATGGAAGGAAGGCATTTTACTGAATTTTTTTTTTATTTTTTTTTTTTTTAAATCTGACTTTTTAAAATTCTCATTATAACCCAGCCCTGACCAAACTGCCTACTATATCTTTATTTGACTCTAGTGTCATATTTTGTCAGTGAACTTCCCTGTGGACATTGTACTACACTGAAGGCTCCATATAAATAAAAGTTGTTTATGGTGTCTGTAAGCAAGAAATTGCTGATAGGGAGGCACTACTGAAGACCTCGAAACTGTGTCAGTTCTCTTCTCTGGAGTGGGTGGTGCATAACACACCATAACACTGAGATAATCTTCACGTTCGCATGCATCAGCTTTGAGTTAGATCGACCCAGTGATTGGATTAAGGTCGAGCTGATTATTTTGTGGAAGAATCCGTTTTTAAGCTTTCTTGAACCACCATGGTAAGAACGGAGTGTCAATGGACTGGTCTAGATGTCGAGCGTGTTATAACCCACAAAATTGTGAAATCAATAAAAGCCAATAAACATGAGAGTTTAACACAGTGTAGAGCTGGAGGAACACAGCAGGCCAGGCAGAGGAGCAGGAAAGTTGACGCTTTGAGTTGGGACCCTTCTTCAGAAATTTCTTCAACTTTCCTACTCCTCTGCTGCCTGGCCTGTTGTGTTCCTCCAGCTCCACACTATGTTACCTCTGACTCCAGCATCTGCAGTTCTAACATGAGAGTTTGCAAAGAATAATTAACATGAAAATTGCTGGGGGAACGTATTGCCTTTTCTTGGTTTGACTGTATGTGATTCCAGTTCTGCATTATGATTGATATTTAATATATTGTAAGGGCAAGCTAACTATTCAATTGTGTAACCATTGCTATGAAGCAACTCCCAGCCCACAGTCAGCTGCTAAGAAATGAGTTCCTGTCAGCAGCAACCAGATTGCAAGAACAAGTGACCAGGTGCCTGCAGTTGTTATGTTTGTTGACGTATTTGGGAAGACTTCCTCAAGAGAACCTGTCATGGTTTCAACTTGACATACACTCAATTTAGTATCTTCACAAGCAGCTCTGCAATGAACTTTGTGCTAGGTTGTGCCTGTAGCTTGATATTCCAGAGGTGAATTGATAACGTTTTTGTAATTGTTTGCAGATTTTGGCAGCAGACGATAAAGAACTTAATGCTTGGTGTTCACTTAAAAAAACCTGCCAGTTCAGGTCAGTGAGTAAAACTGAAATCAGGACCTGTGACACACTTATTCAGAACTCGCAGATTGTGACATATACAACGGGGCAGGCTTGGATTCAAATAAAATAATGTCAGGTCCATAGTCCCAAGTCTGCAGGGCTTTAAAACTTTATCACTCCCAGGTCTTTTCTTTGCACAGATATAAATTCCTAAAAGTGAACTTTATAATATAGTCACAAACTCATTTATTGGAACAGCCATAATTGTTGTAATAAAGATTTTGGTAAAGAGTTGGGGGTTGGGGGAACAGAACAAGGTAATCCAAACTTTGACACATTTGTTTTGCTGAGTTAACTGATCTATATATGTATATATGCTGACCTGTACAAATTAGGATTATTGAAAGTATTCAAGAGCTCATAAAATTTAGTTTAAATGAGTCACTGTGTGTAAAGTAACTGCACAAATGTTATTTGTGAAGATGCAATGAGAGCCTACTTTCTTTTTTTTAAAAAAAATATTGCTTTAACAGAACTGAGAAGGAAGAATTCCATGACCTGAAGATTTACAAACAGAAAGCCCAGAATCTGTGGAAAAAGCAACAGATCTTTAAATCTTTTGCACTGCAGTAAGTATAATTTGCTGGCTATACCAAATATTGCCCGTAATCTTCATATTTGCAGCAACTTGATCGTAGGAAGGAAGTGGTGGCTTTAACAAGTGTACTGTAATGACTAAGTGTATGTGCGATATTTACTGTATTTTGACAGCAACTTTGCATGTTATTTAGAACAAAAAAACAGAACGTCACCAAATATTGAACTCAGAAGTGGGTTTTGTTAATTTGCGATTTGTCATATGGAATGCTTTTTCTGTATTAAATTGCCAGTTGGCATGGAGAGCCACTTATAATAGACTAATGACCAACATTATTAGAATCATCAAATCCCTACAGTATAGAAGCAGGCCATTTGGCCCAATGAGTTCACCCCGACCCTCAGAACAGCATCCCACCCAGACTCCCCCACCCATCCTTGTAATCCTGGATTTACCATGGCCAATCGACCTAACATGCACATCTTTGGACTGTGGGAGGAAACCGCAGCACCTGGAGGAAACTGACACAGACATGGGGAGAATATGCAAGCTCCACACAGGAGGTCGTCTGAGGATAGAATTGAACCAGAGTCCCTGGCCTGGTGAGGCAGAAGTGCTAACCATTGAGCCACCGTACCGCCTTGATTTTGTATTTCCTGGCTGCTTTCACCCCATTCCTGACCGCATTAAATTAATTATCCACAAGGTTAGGATTGCTGGCATGCGTTTCTAATTTAGCATCAAGCACTACAAATTTGGGTATGTCACCATTAAGATACAAAGTAAAGACTACATGCCCCAATAGGGATACTCTTTTTCTACAATCTCTGAAAGGCATATCCTACACATCAGTGTAGGTTGCTCAATAGCCAAATACCCTGTAGCTTTTAAGTCATGCTGCCCATTCCTAAAGGTCCACTTCACTGTTTGGGGTGGGAGGAGATGAGATATATGCACAAGTGCTCTCAAAAGTTTAACATGGAGGAAAAGACTCCCAGTATGAAATAGCTAGTGTGTGCAATGAAAATGTTCATTATATAAAGCCATGTCTTCATTGCATTCAAAGTTTTCACCTTGTTTCCGGATGTTTCTAAGATTTTTGCCCATTAGCTTTAAAACTTCTTTCAGACTTACCTAGCAGCACCTCCTTCTGACTTTGACCTTGATCTATTCTTGTTAAGACAGTCTGTACCTACACTCTGGAATCTGAGAATTTCATTCAAATTATTCTGAGTTAGATCTGAGGAACAAAGATAAAAGGATAGTGCCTTAACACATCAGGCAACCAGTCCCCAGCCCAAAGATTACTGTAACTAGCTATCGAGCCTCTGCTGTCATTACAACTGACTACAGTCCAGTCCTCCTTATAGATGTGCTGCCCCTTTTTTATTCTTCCATGGAAGATTGATGTTGTTGCCGTCCCAAATTACCCTTAGACACAGTGGCTTGCTATGCCATTTCAGAGGGCAGTTAAGAGTGAACCACATTCTTTTGGACTCACATGTAGATTCACATTTTCTTTCCCTAAAGGACATGTGTGAAACAGATGGGGTTTTAGGACACTTGCTGTTAGTTTCACAGTGACCAGAGATCAGCTTTATATTCAGATTTTGTTCATTCTTAAATTCCAGCAGCGTTGAGATATTTAATTTTTTTGTAGGTATTTGAGTAAAGATTAATTGTTTAACTGTAGTAACTGAAATAAACATTGCTACTTTATAGCGAAGATGAATCACAGAGAAACCAGGCAACTGCCAAAATCAAACTTGGAAAGAATAGAAGGGATAAGTTGAGAAAGTCGCAATTGCTGGAAGGGGAAGGAGCTGAAGAGGTGGAGGCCGAACTAAGTGCAAAGAAAGTGAGGTTGTCAGCTGAGAACAAACAGGTCTTTGAGCTGGATAGCGATGAGGATGAAGATGTCTTGGTTCCCAAACCAAAGAACCGTATGAATGTGGCGACCCCAGGGGAAGTGAAACCCAGCAGAGAGAAGGCTGAGGAAAAATCTCCAGGCCCTTCTATTGTACATCAGAAACAATCCAAAGGTCCCATCAAGAAAAGGAAGAAATTTACAAAGAAGAACATGCTCCTCACTTCCCAAGTGCAGTTCGGCGGACATTCGTTCAGTGGCCAGAGACTGCAAGCCTATGGATTAAACCCACGCAAACTGAAATTTAAACAAATATTCAGAGAAAAGAAGAAGAAAGAGAAAAGTAAACAGAATAAAGACTGATTTTTCTACTGGGAGAGATTATTTTGTATGGTGTTGTGAAAAATAAACAAATGTGCTATCACAGATGATCCATTAATGTTGCATTATTCATTATCTCCTGGTATTGACACTTTTTTATTTTTGTATTTGGGTAACAGGAAAGGACACAGGAAACGGAGCCCACTGAATTCCAATTTTGATGATGAACATTTTGGTTGATGCAGTCACATACAATATAGAAGGAGGCTGTTTTGCCTATTTGAATCCAGGCTGACTCCCTGTGAAGCAATAAAATCAGTTTCTGTTCACATCACCCTGCCCACCACATTTGGCCCAAAACTTTTTAAATCTGTTGCCCCTTAGTTCTTGTACTAAAATCATTGGGAACAACTTTTCCTTATCCACCTCTTTATTTATGTTGACATTTTAATCTATACATCAAATGCAGTGGTGCTAGAACTTTCTGCTGTCTACCAGCCTCCAGTCTGAGAAATAACCATTTACCACAAGTTGTTTTAGTCCCTCAGTTGATTTTTTTTAAAATCCAAACTGACACTGATCCTCCTATTCCATGAGCGTCAGATTTGTTAACCAGTCTTTAATGTGCCACTTGGTCAAACGCATTCTTCAAATCCATATAGACAACACACATTGCTCTCCTTTCATCAACAATCTCTGTTACTTCAAAAAGTTTCAATATACTGCGCTTCAGTTGTGTAACTTGCTGAAATCTGGTTACTCTGCAATTCGTGGTTTGTAATCCAGGAAAATGCTTTCTCAAAGGAACACTCCAGCTGGTAGAGAAGAATGTCGCAAAGCCACTGACAAACCAGCTCTGAGAGATTTGATGGCTGACCTTTGAGAGTGTAGCTGGCTGCCAGTGAGAGGAACCGAAGTCAATATCTGCAAGTTGAAGCCAGCAAACAGTCTTCCTCTGTAAACAGAAGAGACTGCCAGTGCCAGAGTGTGAAGCCCTTGAGCCACATTAGCAATGGTTCAGACTAAGGTGGTCAGTTCAATGTCTGATGAGATGGAAGGTTGTCACACCGTCTTTATGTGAGAAATGAGTGGATGTGTTCTTCACTAGGGTATCTCAACCAAGCACATCATATAATTTCTATCATAGATCAGGAATCGGAGCCATGACTGATTTTACTCTTTAAGCTAATTTAAACACATTCTTGGCAGAATCAAAACTGTTGCATTACAGAGTCTGCTGGAGGGTTGAACTGAGACCATGATCTTATGGTAGAGCAGGTTCGAATGGCTGACTCCTGTTGTTTCTACACTCAGTTGATGCTCTGCTTGAGTGACCTGCCTTACTAGCAGGTGCCAAAGGGCAGCCCTATATTAGACCCAATGGTCCGAATGGCTAATATCTGCTTCAGCGTTTTATGATCTTTAACATGAAAGTAGAGCCTTTTGTGTAAGAACTCTTGTTGGAAAAGAACAATTGTGATGCAACTTCCTCACTGCGTAATATCCTTCACAAAGTTACGCAATTTTCCAGTCCCCAGATGAACAGTTTCAGTAAATATACATGCCTGTGACCTAAATGTGCAGTCGGTGCTGGTAAAGTGAATGTAGCAGTCAACTTTAACACAGCTAGGACCCACATGTGGCGCATCAGTTAAATGATCAAAGTACTGGCTCAGTGCGTTTATTTTAATTAATTCATAAGATATAAGTGCTGCATTCATTGCCCTCCCTTAATTGCATTAGAAAAGATGCTGGTGAACTGCCACCTTGAACTGTTGCTGTCCAAAGGAATAGGATATATAATGCCATAAAAAGAGCTCCAGTATTTTGACCCACTGACAGTGAAGCAACAGAAATTTGGCTGACCACCAGGATAGTATAAAAACCGAAAGAACTGCGGATGCTGTGAATTGGGAACAACAACAACAAAGTTGCTGGAAAAGCTCAGCAGGTCTGGCAGCATCTGTGAAGGAAAAAGCAGAGTTAACGATTCAGGTCTGGTGACCCTTCCTCACAACTCAGCTTGTAGGGAAACTTTTTATAGGTGGCGGTTTTCGAATATGTTTTATCTACCCTTCTCATTCGAGGTGGCAGAGATTGTGTGCTTGGACAATATCATTGAGGGAGGCTTGGCAAGTTGCGTGCAGTGGTACCATTGTTTGCAGCCAGAATGGAGATGAATACTTCATCAAACTGTTGAAATGGAAGAGTACTTAGACTCCAAACAAAAATCACATCGTATGAGAAAAAAGCTAAAGGCAACAGTCCGAGATCATTGGGCTGATAAGCAGGGACTAATCCACAGCAGAGTCCTGTATTATAAGGACAATGGAAATTTTGAAAGCTGTTCATTCTCTCAAAGAACTTGCATAGAAAGCTAACTTCATGTCGAGTGGAATAAGGGATGTCGAGCTTATTGGTTGGTATGTGCTTTGCTCAGCACTTCATCCGAAATTTTGGCTTTGAATGCAATATTTATGTTTGTAGACTATTCCCTGGATTCAATGCCTCCTCACAACAAGAGAAGTCTTGTTTAAAGGGAATAGTTTAAGAATGCTACTGTTTGAATTTGATTCTTGTGATATTTCTACTCTAGTTAGGCAGAACATTATCTTGACATTATGGTGTTATCTAGAAACATGCTAAATAGTATTTCAGTCAGAGGCTATCTTTAGGTAAAAGGGTCTTGTCACTCGTTTTGTTCTGCATTTTGAAACAACACAATTTAACAAATTACATTTGAAATGTAATGCTTCATGATTTTGTGGTGAAAGTGTTGCACAATTATTCTATCTTTCTTTTGCCCTCATCTGTATTGCTATTACAAGGTTACTGTTTCTTTGAACTTTCATTCTACTCGCTGAAGCTGCTTAAAAAGAAAAACCCATACCTCTGTGTTCTTTCTACTCCCTGTATCGTCACTGTATGCAGCTTGAGACTCATTGTGCTATCTTATAATGCAGGCATCCTGGGAAGAATGAATATAAACTACATAGTTCATTATTCTCTCAGTTGTCATCTTGAAAGGTCTTCAAATCTAATTATTATTAGACAAGATTATTAAGAGTGATGTAACTGATCAACTAGATGGAGCTAAGTTGCCACTCATATTTTTAATTGTATGACTAGATGGTCTAGTCCTTTTTCAATTCTCAGAATATTCTTGCACTACATTTTATAGAAAATCTCCACCTCCACCCAGTTAACAGCCAAATATAGAATGATTGATTCAGCACAGATGGAAGACCATCTGGCCTGTTTTATCTCTTTTATAGCATTTACCTATTAATTGCATTGAACTGATTGGCCCAGAACAGCTGCCAATCCCACTTATCTACAACTGTTATCACTCCCTTTTGCCTGTTGTGATACCAGTGATCCTCTAATCTCCTTCACCCTCTAACCTTCCCTTTAATTATACCTGCTCCTTCCCAATTTTTTCAACAGTATAAAGATCACTTTTCACCTCTCATTTCAAAGGATTTGAAACAATAATTGTTTTTCTCACTCCATAGGTGCTGCCAGATCTACTGAGTTTTTCCAACACTTCCTGTTTTATACTTCAGATTTCCAGTATCCATAGTTTTGACCATTAAGTGCATTCTATTGCTCCTTCCATTTAACACTGCAAATGTCTTCATTTTAAAGTTTTATCTGCTTCCCTGCCCTTTTCAGGTTTAAACTTGTGCTAAAAGTGGTTTTTGATTTGATTTTGATTTATTATTGTCACATGTCTGGAGATACAATGAAAAGTATTGTTTTGCGGGCTAACCAGACAAATCATACCTTACATATGTACTTCGGGGTAATAGAATCAAATGCAGAATATAGTGTTAGTGTTAGAGCTAGAGCTAGAGCAAAAGATCAACTCTAATATCTAAGTCTGTTCATAAGTCTGATAACAGTGGGGGGAAAAAGCTGTTCTTGAATCTGTTGACCTTCCTCCAGACATCTTTGATTCTCAAATAAAAGCAAAATACTGTGGATGTAGGAAATCTGAAATAAGCATAGAAAATGTAGAAATTCAGCATCTGTGGAGAGAAAGAGTTAACGTTTTGAGTCAAAGATGACATCTTCAGAATCTTTGATTCTTATGCCAGTTTTAATTAATTTGTTGATTTATTTATGTATGCTGTATACTTAAGTAAATCAAACTGTGGTTGCTGGAGATGTGACACAAACAAAAACAAATTGCTGAAATAACTTAGCAGGTCTGAAGAGAAAAATTAATGTTTTGAATCCAGTAAAGAGGGATCACTGGACTTGACATGTCAACATTTTTTCTCGTCACAGAAGCTGCTAGACTTGATGAGTTTCCCTAACAGTTTGTTTTTGCTTGCTGTATACTTGATTTGATTTGCTTTAGTCATGTATACCTAAGTATAGTGAAAAGCTTTGTTTGCGAGCAGTACAGGCAGATCATAATAAGTGAGGACATACAGATCATAGGGTGTTTAGACAGAGTGAGGCATACAGGTTACACTACAGAGGAGGCGTGCAAACTAAGATCATCGTTGATAAGATCAACATTATTTGAAGTTCGAGAGCCCATTCAACAATCTAAATAATGGCAGGGAAGAAGTTGTTCTTCAACCTGTTGGTGCATGTGTTCAAGCTTCTATATCTTCTGCATGATGGGAGAGGTTGTAGGAGAGTATTAGCAGGGTCCTAGGGGTCTTTGATGTATTCTTTGTGTCAGCGAGTAGTGTAAATGGAGTCTATGGATGGAAAGTTGGCTTCTGTGATGGTCTGGATATGCACACACCCTTCTGTAGTTTCTTATAGTCCTGGGCAGAGCAGTTACTGTATCAGGTCGTTATGCACCAGACTAGTATGCTTTCTATGGTGCATTTGTAAAAGTTGGTGAGGGTCCTTATGGACAGGCCTGCTGAGGAAGAAGTGTTGAGTGCCTTATTGACTGTCACATCTACATGAGAAGTCCAGGCCAGGTAGTCAGAGAGAGAGAGATAACTGGTGATGGTTTAACCTAAAGGTCACCATGTCGAGGTGGAGATGAGAAGATAAGTAGAGACCTTCATGGTAACCACAACCACTGCTGGAACTGAATCCACACTGTTGCATTCCTGTGCTTTGCAAATAAGGCATCCAACCAAGTTA